GATTTGAGATACCACTAATTTTGGATTATTTGCTCTATTTTACTCATTTCTTTGCCTATTCATATGTGCAGGCTTCTTTGAATCACCTTTCTAACAACTATTATAAAAATTTAAAGTATATTTCATACCCACCAGGGTGGCTAAAATGAAAAAAGGATAGACCAGGACAAGTGTTGACAAGGATGTGGAAAAATTGGATCTTTTCTTACTGGTGGGTAAGAAAAATGGTGTATTTGCTTTGGAAAGCAGTCTGACAGTTACTAAAAAATGTAAACAGTTACCATAAGACCCAGAAATATGCACATAGGTATATAGCTAAGAGAAATGTAAACATATGCCAAAACAAAAACTTATATTTGATTATTCACAGCATTATTCACAATAGCCCAAAAAGTGGAAACAGCCCAAATCTTTATCATCTGATGAATGGATAAACAAAATGTATAGCCATTCAGCAGAATATTATTTAGCTATAAAAGGAAGTACTGGTACATGCTACAATATGATGAACCTTGAAAACATGCTAAGTGAAAGATGCTAGATATAAAAGGCTACACATGGCATGATTTAATTTATATAAAATATCCAGAATAGAGAAATCCCTAGAGACAGAAGATAGATTATTGGTTTCCAGAGGTTTGGAAAGGGGGAGTAGGGAGTGATTATTAATGCATGTAAGATTTCTTTTTGGGGTAATGAAAATGTTCTGGAATTGGATAATGGTGATAGTTGTACAACTTTATAAATATTCCAAGACCCATTGAATTATATACTTTTAAAATGATGAATTTTATGGTATGTGAACTATATCTCATTTAAAAAATTTTTAAAGGGAAAAAATTGAAAGTTCATGCTCTTGGTAAAAAAAAAATTTCAAATATTTCAAAAGAATATATGATAAAAAGTAAATCCTTTTCTACAACTTCAACTATCAAAACATATTTTTGTGGATCTTGTCAATATGTGTATTTATAAAGCCCATTTTTCCCCTTTCAAATACAAATGTGAGCACACTCTACATTCTGTTCAGCAACTTGCTTCTTTCACTAAACAATGTATCTTAGCCATCTTTCCCTAATAGTACCTGTATAGCTATTTTGTTTTTTTAACAGCTCACAGAATTCTCTATTGTGACCCTATGCTACTGATGAATGTTTAAATGTTTTTTAGTTTATTGTGCAATTGAAAATGATGCTCAGAGACCATTCTACACATATCTTTGTGACTCAGTGGGGATGTATTTGTAGGATGATTCCCTACAGTTGAGAAATTGCTTGTTTGAAGGATTCGTACATTTTGTTTATTTGGATAAATTTTAATTTTAAACATACTACATTCAAAAATCAAAAGGTACAAAAGGTATACACTGAGAGTCTCTATCCTACCTTTGTCCTTTAGCCACTGAGGAATGAATGTTATTAACATCTTATGTTTTCTTCTGTAAATATTTTATGATATACAAATAAAAACCTATGTGTTTGAGAAGTTAGCGTATTGTTATATATTTTGATTTTGAACGCTGTTGCTAACTTGAACCCCAGAAAGGTTGCCCCAGCATTGCCTGAGATTATCTCCATCTCCAGTATTTTTTGGTACATGGAGAATCAAGAATTCTCCAGATTCTTTAATAATGGCCTGAATTTTAAATCCACTGTTAGAAGTAATTGCAGCATCAGCAGGCCCTTAGAAATCTTCAGTTTTGTTGGCATTTTGGTAGGCGCTGGCTGTTATGATGGTCCCACTGGCTCTGGCACATAGTGGTTTGAGAGGCCCAGAAAGGCAAAGTCTCAGGAACTCACCAGCAGGACCTAAAGCCTAGAAATAGTCATCTCCTACAATTGAAGAAGTGAGGATGGTTTGAGGCTAGTTGCATCTGTCTTGGTTACTAGCAACAGACACTCAAACTGATTTAATAAGAAAGGGAATTTATTGGCTCATATGACTGAAGAGTCCAGAGTTTGGCCCAAGTGCTCACCCCAAAGGTGGTGTCAAGAATCTTGTCTTGCCTCTTAGCTCTGTTTTCTTCCGTGTTAGGTTCATTCTTAGGCAGGCTCTCTTTCATTTGAGGCTGCCAGAACCTTCCGGCTTATATTCCGCCAAATCGTCAGTCTCAGTCCCAATCAGTATTTCAGTAAAAGTCCAACCGGTGTGTCTTAGGGACCGACTTTGGCCACATGTCTTCTATGAACCAATCACTAGAGCCAGAAGGATGGAATGCTCTGATTGGCTAGATCCTGGTCAAGCGTTATCCCTGGAAGGGGGGGTAATAGAACAGAGCCAGAAGGATGGAATGATCTGATTGGCTAGAGCCTGGTCAGGTGTTATCCCTGGAGGGGGAAGGATAGAACGGAGCCAGAAGGATGGAATGATCTGATTGGCTAAGCCCCTGGCGCGGCCTTAGCCCCTTCAGCTGGGGGGTGGGACAGAGTGTGAGGTATGTGATGATCTGAATGGCTAGAGCCTGGTGAAGAATGATCCTATTGGCCAGATCCTGGTGAGGCTTGGGACAGCCAGAGGATGGGATGATCTAATTGGCCAGACGCTGGCGAGGTGTTAGCCTCTGGAGCTGCGGCAGTGGTGGAGGATCTTGTGGTGACTGGCTTGTTTGTCCGGTATTCATTCCATCAAATTTGGTAGGCTGAGGCGGAAGAGGTACTTTCTCAAAGGAAAACTGGGTTGTTCTCAGGAAAACTAGCCAGGCAAAATGTAAGTCTAGTTTGTTAGTGGTCTTCAAATTTTGCTTCCTTATCCCCTTAAAGAATTTTGAAAACCTCTGTACCTCTTTATGTGTTTTTAAATTGACATCTAGAATTTTTTTTTATCTGTGAGTCTAAATAATTGTAAGAAGGAAATTTTTAGATTTTGTACATGTTGATATGTTAAAATAAAACTGTTATTTATTTGTATATAATAGAATATAATATGATGCCACAGAAATTTCATACCCTTCAACATCCATTTTAAAAAGCCTGGACATTGGACTCTGAGAATTCTTATTGCTAAAAAAAGAAAAAAAGTCATGGATAAGTTCTTCAATAATCAAAAATTTCAACTTGTGCATTCCTCTTTTTGGATCATAGTTCCAGTTTATTTTTCTAAAAGAAGTTTTCTCTAAGGTATTTTATGTTTAAACATCTTATAGGTCATCCAGTGATCCTCTTCTGGAACAAATGTACTTGTATAACTTACTTTTAAAACATTTCTGTTATTGTAAGGCTCAGGGTTAAATTTTTTCTAGATTGAATTATTACTAAAATTATTACTACATAGCTTATCTAAACAACATAAATATGGTAAAATTTTCTATAATAAACATAAAAATACAATTTTGGAGGTAGGAAGGTAGGTGGTGGATTGTAGTGCCTTTTAAAGGAGGCTTTGCAGGCATCAGTTAGTTTTAATTGTCCCTTGGGTTGATACCTTGAAGTTCAGGAGTTTTTACCTCCTTTGGAGCAGTGTACTGTAGTAATTGTATTAGTTTCCTATGTCATGTAACAAATGACCATATACTAAGTGGTTTAAAGCAACACCCATTTATTAGCTCACAGTTCTATAGGTTAGGGATACGGTATGGTGTTCTGAGTCATTGTCTTGCAAGGCTGAAATCAAGGTGTTGGCTTTGATTGTGTTCTCATCTGGAGTTGTAGGCCATCTTATGGTATGGTGTTCTGAGTCATTGTCTTGCAAGGCTGAAATTAAGGTGTTGGCTTTGATTGTGTTCTCATCTGGAGTTGTAGGCCATCTTTTAAGTTCACATGGTTGTGATAGAATCCAGTTCTTTGACTGAGGTTCCCATTTCCCTACTGGCTAGCACCCAGAGGCTGCTCTCAGCTTCTACAGGCCACACATACTCCCTGTTCTGTGGTTCCCTATATTCTCAAAACCAACACAGGAGAATTTCTTGTGCATCAACTCCCTCTCATACTTCCAATCTCTGAACTCTTCCATCTCTGACCTCTAGAATGTTGACCTTTAGGACTCATGTGATTAGGTCAGGCCCACCTAGGTAATCTCCCTATCTTAAAGTCAGTTGATTTGGGACCTTAATTATTTTTGCAGAATCTCATCGCAGCAGAACTTAGTATTTGATTGAATAACAGGGAGAAGGTGTGTCTACACCTCTGTGAATTTTGCCTACCACGGTGGGATTCTCCATGGGTATGAAGTATGACTTTATTTTAAAAAATTTTTGTGAAGTGGGAGGACAGTTTGTGACTGGGAGATTGGGAAGAGGAACCCCATGAGCAGGATGATACCTGGAATAAAGGTGCCTTATCAGGAGGTGAATTTTAGGAAAGCTTATATATGAAAGTTGGAGATCAGGCACTGATTTGTTTAACTCTCTCTGCCTACATAAGTCTTTGTGTAGCCCTAGGGATATACCTGTTTCAATCTGAAAATTGTCATATCTGTGATCACAGAGATATCTTAATGGTTGGCAATAGACACATCAGAGCAGCAAATGGAGTTGACAGCCAGAGGATTGGGGCTGGGAGGGTGGTAAGAGTGACAACAAAAAACTCCTGATGCTAAAGCAATTGCCACTTTCTTCTCCTGTCCCCAGACAGGCTTTTTTCTGGAAGAATATTCTGTTTCCTCTCTAGGGAATAAAGAAATCTGAAGTCACAGCTTGCTGTTATCCTTACAGCTGTAACTGTTGCCTAGTAACCAGATTCCCCCTCTCCTAGCTTGTTGCCAAGGAGAGGGGAGAAAGGTAGAGAGGAGCGCACTTCTGAACCTTTTAAAAGCCATTGTCCTTCCCACTCCACACAGAACTCTTTGCTTCAGGGCAGTTGGGTGGCCTGCCCCGAGCCTGGTAGTTCTATAAACAGGGACCTTGGTCCTCTTGAGCCTGGTAGTTTAGGTTCTATAAACAGAGGGACCTTGATCCTCTTACCCCAGGCTGCTCAGGCAGGGAACTGGAATAAGAGCACTCATGGGGACATCTCCTTATGGAAGGAATCATGACAATCCCTACTTCTCATTTTGGCCTGCCCTAGGACAAACAGAAGATGTGCAGATGCTCCTGCGCTTTGGAGCAGATCCCACTTTGCTGGATCGACAGTCTCGGTCTGCTGTGGATGTCCTGAAGAGGAATAAGAACTTCAAAGCCATCGAGAAAATCAACAGCCACTTGGGAAAGCTGACTATGTGTTCTAAGGACTTATCAGGTACAGCTTCCAGTGGATTAACTTTTGGGGGGCTTAAAATTGATTCTGTAACATTAGGTACAAATCAATTTTTCTCTTCTTGGCACACTTGATGGAAGTGAGACCTCCCAATCTTTGGAAAACTTGTTCGCTTTTTTGGAAAGGTAGAATGAGTCAACTCTTATTTAGAGAGCACCTACGACATTCTGGGAACTTACTTATCCATGTCCACCTTTGGACAGTATGAGTAATTTTTTTCATGCATGCACATAGAAAAAAAAGTAAGACAGAATAGGACATAAAAATCATGCCTACTTCTCAGAAACAATTACTGCCAATAATTTAGTATACATTTATATGTCTATCTTGATTTACCACTTTGGGACAGCATCTGTTGACAGACTCTGCTATATAAGATGAAGTGCTTGGCTGTGTCAGTCCTACTTGTTGGATTTTGTCTAGTAATGTTATTTTTATCATTAACATTCTATTTCTTAACTGTAAGTTTTCTGTTTCATCTTTAGATAGATTCTAAAAATTGAAAACCAGTGAGTGGCATTTGCATGGTGTATGATTATGTAAATATAATTCTTTCTACAACTAGTAACATGACTGGACTCATAAAACAGAATCACCAAATATTCCCAAAACTTGCTCTTTAAATGTGATGCCCTTTAAGCATCCCAGTTTAATGAAACATATATTTTTGTGCTTCCTGTAGTTGCACTCATATATGACTCTTGTGGCTCATGTTATCTGCATAGATTTCTTTCTTGATCTGCTAGATTACCTACTTAGGTAAGTTTTTTATGGATGAGGCATGAATAGTAGACTTAAGGAGTTTTTGAAAATGTCTTTATTTTATCCTAATATTGATTGATAATTTATCTGAACATAGGCATTGTATTTCATCCATAGTGAGTTGTATTTCCCTCTATATTTTAACATCTTTGAAACTTGAATGTGTTTCACAATCAGTGACATGTCATAGTTTGATGGCAGCCTTTTTTAGTGTGTTTATCAGTCCATGGTATTTTATATTTATAAAATACACAAATAAATCTTGTTCCTCACAACTTTGAAGAAATTGTTTTATTGTCTTCTAGCCCCCATTGCTACTGAATAGAAGTCAGATGTTAGTCTCATTTTTTTTTCCTTTCTTAGGATTTTCTTTGTCCTTGGAATTCTGAAATTTCCCTGGGATGTATCTAGATGTATCTAGATTCTTCTTGCTTGGTACCCATTGATCCCTTTAAATCTATCTGTCTTAGCTCAGGGAAATTATCTTCTATTATTTGTTTCCCTCCAAGGTCTCTTTTCTCTTTTTGCCATTACTATTAAATGGTTGAGCTTCTTGAATTCATAATATATGTCTCTCTACTTCTTCCTCGTATTCTTTATCTCATTTCTTCTTCCCAGGTCTTTAACTTGGTCTTTAGCTTTTCCTTTTACAATTCAGCTTGTCCATTGCTGCATTTTTTAATTTGACAAATCATAGTTTTAATTTCTAAGAACTCTTTCTTGTTCTGATTTTTTCTTATCTGTAGCAGCTTATTCTTGTTTTACATTTGCCACATCTTTTTCAATTGCATTTAAGAAAATTAATGAGAATTAAAAAAACTATCTCCTCTCTTCTCTGAATTATTTGTTACTTTTGGAGTTAGTTGACTCATCTTCTTGCCTCTTTTTTGTGCTATTGCTTTCCCCTAATGATCTTCTGATTTTTTGTAAGGTTTGTATTTATGATTGAAGGCCTAGGTTGATTAATATTTAGTAGGTGGTTGGTTAGTGTGCATTTCCTGCAGTTATTTATATATGTTTCCCTGGAAACACTCCCTCCCTTGAATGGGCAAGTGGGCAGTGAGTTGAAGGCAGCCTGTAGAGGGTATGTATTAGGCTGGGATTCAGTCTGACAGGCTGGGGATAGAAGCTGCTTTTTAAACACTTCTTCCCCACCCTCCATCCCCCCATTTATGTTTTAATTTTATTTATTTATTTTAAATATCTTCTGTCATTTTCATGAGACCATAAGAATGAGGAAATGTATTTGCAGAGTCCTCTTTTTTTTGGATGTTCTTTTAAAGAGTGACATACCATGTTTAGTTTGTAAACGACCTCATGTTTTAGGGGATTGTGATTTCTTCTGTGAGGTAGTATTATTAATAAGCTATTGTGAAATGCTTTCTGAGAGCTTGTGCCTGTAATCTGGGTTTCAGATGGTTTCTACAAATTGAGAAATTGAAAGTAACAGGTTGCTTTGCCAATGAATCTCTAGGTTTTAAAATAACAACAAAGAACCACTAATTAGTGGTAGGAAATGTCTGATTTGCTTGCAGATTTATCTTTTATTAAATTTAATCTTAATTCTTAAAATACTGTGTATATTATCTTTAGTGTTGTAGTCTTTAGCATAAAGACTGCATAAAGTCATTATGCTAAAATGACTTTAGCATAAAGTCATTCATTTTTGTTCAGTTTTTAAAGTTTTGATTTTTTGGTCTTCTTGGATAGCAGAATCTTTGAATATCTGTTAATCCTAGAAAACACCTCATCTTCTGGGACAGGGTTCTTGCTCTCTTTTCTGTCCTCTCCTTCACCAGTTAAATCTGGAGCCTGAGTTTAGAACCAAGAGAAGAGACTTTGCAGAATCTCAGCTTGTGCTCTTATTACTCATTAGAGCTCAGCTGCACTTGCTTGGCAGAAAAGCATGCAGGAGAGGAATATGCATCATCCCAGGCTTGTCATTCAGCTCACTGGGGAGCCTGTGATGGCAGTGGGTGCAGTCAAGCCTAAAGCCCCCGATACTCTATGGTAGACTTGTTAAATGTTTGGTTACTTTAAAGTTTTCCAGACCATTAACAACAAAGATTTTCTTGCCATGCTAGAGGAATATTATAAGCCTACAGAGAAACATTGAGTTAAAAGTGAAAGGAACTAATAAAAATCTAAAAAGAAGAGGATGACAGTTAATCAGGAAGGGCTAGCAAGGTAGAATCTACCTGTATTTCCCAGAGTACTCCTGGCAGTGGAACCCTTGTAGAAGTCAGTCTCTGAATATGATCTCTGTATGTAATGATCTCTGAATGGAATTATGTACTGAATATCACTGTTCCTTTATACCTACATAAGGTTATATAGAGTCATATGCATGCATTCTGTTTCTAAGATTTTGCAAGTTGCACAAACTTTAAAACCTAAGGTGGAGCTGGGGGATCTTTCTAGACCAGTTCTATGCAATATAATTTTCTGAGATGATGGAAATATTTTATACCTACTCTGTCTGATCTGATAGCTGTTATTTACATGTAGCTGTTAAGCAGTTGAAATGTGTATGGCTTGTGCATCTGAAGAAATGAAATTTAATTTTCTGTAATTAACTTTAAGTTAGTGGCCACTGTATGGGGCAGTATAATTTTAGACTTTATCCCCTAAAAGGTCTTTCTATCCAGAGTAGTAGTTGAGAAGACAGTAGGATAAGTCAAAGGAGAGGACCCTGGGCCATGGGAATGAAGGTGGATCTACTTTTTTTTTTTTTTTCCATATTTTTTGGTAGAGATAGGCTTTCACTATGTTTCCCAGGCTGGTCTTGAACTCCTGGCCTCAAGCAGTCCTCTCACCTTGGCCTCCTGTAGTGCCAGGTTTATAGGCGTGAACCAGAGTGCCCAGCTTCTATTTTGTTTTTGTGAACCTTAATCCCTCCTCATCCTCATCCATTAAAGGGACCCATGGAAGCATTATCTTTGGGAAGAGCTGCTACTAGGGGTTTGCATCCTTGTTTCTGACCAAGGAGTCTGACTTGATGATTTTTTTTTTAACATCTGTGCTCCTGAGTACAGCACCATTAGGACGTGGATTGTTTTGTACCTAGATAAATGAACATTCCAATTTATAGGGTAGGATAAAATATGCTTTCTCCCATGATTCTTCTTGAAGGTAACTATAACCCATTTTGCTGATTGCTTTGGATAGGGCTACTTTTGGCGTCTAGATGAGAAATAAAGCCTGAAAAATGAAGGGTCTTGCTGAAGATTTCTGCCATTCTCTAAACCAGTGCTTCCCCAAGTTAACATGCATACAAATCATTCGGGAGCCTTTTAAAATGTATGTTTTGATTCAGCAGGTTCAGGGTGAGACCTGGGATTATGCATTTCTTACCAGCTGCAATGGGATGCCAGGAACCACTTTGAGGAGTAAGGGTTTAATTCTAAATAGTCAAGATTATAGAACTGTCTCTTTATCCGCCTTTCTTGGTCACCACCAGATGGCAACATGTCCACTTTCTTTAGCTGTCGTTGGTATTCCGCTTGTTCCTTAGGACCAAGAACAGCAAGCTTGGAGCCTTTGTTTTTTTCACAATTGTTTGTGATCTCCTCTCTGATTCACTAGTGATTGGCCTTTTCTTAGAATGTGTTCAAATCCAGGCCTCTGAATCTTTTTTTTCTGGTCCTCCAGTGGGGAGCTAGCTGCTTTCTGCTCTGTGCTCAGCACCAGGGTGATGTTCATGTTCAGTATAATGCAAGCATGGGGTATTGACTTACAAGATGTTAATTATCATTTTTTTTAAACCAATATTTTTATTTTTTAAGAAAATTTATGAATATAGGAAAAATTCTCTATAAACCTACTTACTATAAAAATTATTTGATTTAGTTTTATTACATGTATTTAGGGTTATACATTTTTATTTTCTTTTATTAAAAATGGGATGAGTATATAGATATAAATTGATAAAAATGTGTGTAATAAGACTTAAGAGTTTTGCCTTTTATAGCTTGAGAGGAAGATTTTGGGCAAAAATGAGATCTATCTTTTTGAAATGGTTTGTTTCTATTTTCTAATAGTTCCAAGCACTATTACAACTTCTGAAGATCTTTTTTCTTTTATTTTGTTAAGAGATAGGATCTCACTTTGTCATCCAGGCTAGGGTACAGTGGCACAATCATAGCAGCCTTGAAATCCTGGGCTCAAGTGATCCTTCCACCTTAGCCTCTTGAGTAGCTGGGACTACATGTGAGAACCACCATGCCCAGCTAGATCTTTTAAATTTTAATGTCAAATATGCTTATATATACAGTAAGTCCTCACTTAACTTCTAGAAAGATGTCACTAGGTAATTGGAAACTGTAACTTTAAGCAAAATGATACATGATGAAACCAGTTTTATCATCAGCTAACTGATATAAATAAACAAGAGTTAAGTTCCTAAAGCATATTTCCTGTCACAAAAACATTACCAAACTTATAAAGACCAAAAATAATTTTATATTAAACATTGAAATAAATATGAGCAATATATACATTTAAGAATGATTAATACAAACAAGTAAGATAATTATTTACCCAGTGATACCAGTTTAGGATTTTAGGTAGTCAGAGCCTCTACCAGCAGCTAAGGGTACCAGGCAGGAAGTAGCCTGGACAGAAGGCCATCCCATTGCAGGACACACACATTCCCACACTCACTCATACTGGGACAACTGAGACACAGCAATTCACCTAGTGTGTACATCTTTGGGATGTGAGAGGAAACCAGAGTACCAGAGAAAACTCACACAAACAAGGAGAATACGTGTAAACTCCACACAGACATTGCCAGGATATCAATGTTTATAACAAAAGGACATTGAACAAAAACGACTTTGAGGACCAGTTACTCCAGGAATGTTATTCCAGGTACATTGTGGAATGGCTAAGTCAAGCTAATTAACATATCTGTTACCTCATATACTTCTCATTTTTTTGTGGTGAGAACATTTAGAATCTACTTAGCAATTTTCAAGAATATAATACATTGTTATTAACTATAGTCACCATGTTCATTAGATCTCTTGAACTTACTCCTCCTAACTGAAATTCTGTATTCTTTGACAGATATCTTTCTGATCCTTCCCCCTAGCCCCCGGTAATCACCATTCTACTTTTTGTTTCTGTAAGTTCAACTTTTTTTGATTCCACATATAAGTAAGATTATGTGGCATTTGTCTTTCTGTGCCTGGCTTAATTGATTTAGCTTAATGTCCCCCAGGGTCATCTATGTTGTCGAAGATGAAAGGATTTCCTTCTTTTTAAAGGCTGGATATATACTATCCAGAGTATGTATGTGTATGTGTGTGTGTGTGTGTGTGTGTGTGTGTGTGTATGTGTATATATATACACACATACATACACACAACATATATATATATATACACACACACACACACTACACACACACACACACACACACACACGCACCACATTTTCTTTATCCATTCATCCACTGATGGATACTTACATTGATTTCGTATCTTGGCTCTTGTGAATAATCCTGCAATGTATATGGGAATGCAGATATCTCTTTAACGTACTGATTTCATTTCCTTTTGATTGTTATTGTTTTAAAAACATGATGAAACTATATTCAAGCCACACACACTTGTCAAGCTAAGTTTGTTCTGTGTGCCATCACTTTCTAGCTTAAACTCAAGAGTCTGAACATGCTAACAGAAAGGATGATTAGAAAATATGACTTCTTCCCTCACACACCCACACTCACTGATCCTGGGGCAGTTTAGACACACACACACACCAGTTCACCTAACATGCACATCTTTGGGATGTAGGAGGAAACACAGTACCCAGAGAAAACCTACACAACTATGTGGAGAATGTGCAAACTCCACACAGTGGCCTTTGCTGGGAATTGATTTGTTTTCTCATCAATGTTATAATGAGATGACATTGAATGAAATGTTATTCGTGGTATTTGCTAAGTAAGATCATTATAGAAAATTTGTAAAAATATAGTTTTATATAAAAATAAAATTTGTTGTAATTGCACTTTGGCGTATTTTTATTTGGTCTTTTGTTGTTTAGTACTTACATAGTCATCTTTTAAAAAACTGCGATTATAATGTATAAGCTACTTTGTATCCTGATGTTTCTTTTGTCTCTTATTAAGCTTATAGGAAATTTAGAAAAAAAGCCAGAAAAGTTTAGTGAAATAAATAAATCACCCACAGCCTTCCTACCTAGGGATACCATTTGTCAGTATTTAGCAACTTTCCTTCTATATCGTTCTTTGATTTCTTTCCTGATGTTTGAAGCTTTCTCTGATCTATAACTGCCTTCTTAACTAGTCTGAACCATGTAATCATGTATTTATTATACAGCTGCATCTAATTGTCTGTGTTCTTGTACTTGGTACATTTCTATTTATTTTCATGAGACTTTTATATTAAACTAATTTTCCTGTGGGAAGAATGATATTTCCAAAAAGCTTTTGGTGCCATGGTGCAGGGAGACAAGCAGCAGGTTTCCATCAGCTTGATATTGAAGCTTGATATCTCCTTTACCAAGGGTACTATTTCTTCTGTACTGTGAGTTTTCATTGTTTTTCGTGCCTTCATAGTTATTTTAGGGTGAAGGTGGGAGGGCACAGTCCAGGAGTACAAGCCAGATATTGTTACACCACACACGTTTTTCATCTCAGAGTGAATTTCCAGCTAAGGTGATGTGGGTCTTTCTTTGACAGATGACTTAATGATTATCATTTTCTCTTTGGACGTTGATGTGATAGTGGATCCTGTTTATGCCTGGCACCTGAAGCTCTCTTGATTAGAGAGAGCAATGAATGTTTGCTCCAGAAGTGGGTGTGTATGTTTCGGCTGTTTTGACTTGATTTGTTGAAAATGTGATCAGATGTGTATCAGTTGATGGAGCAGATAATGGAGTTCTTTCTGGATCTCCTTGGATCCCTTTTACCATTTCTGTATGCTCTCTAATAATTGGTATGCCTTCGCTTTGAAAAGCCAGCACCTAGGGCTTGTTCTCAAGGGAATGTCTTTGGGCTTATGAAGACTGCTCATGCTCCTTTAAACCAGAAGTGCCTGGTAATATACATTCTCCTAAAGCAGCCTGTAGTCAGTGATTGATAAATGTGAGTCCATATGAAAGCCCATTTCCTTTGCCTAGCCTGGGGACAACTATGAGGTGTGACTTATACTCCAGAGCTTCCCTGTGGGATCAGGCTGAGGCCACTCTCTGTGGGACTTTGCTGGAGAGCACACACTTGCTTGGCTTCCTTACCCATCCCTATCCTACTTACCCCACTCCCTTACTGGTCTTACTCTTTTTAATAAACTACTTGCACACAAATCCTTGACTTAGGGTCTGCTACTGGGGAACCTGAATAAAGATAGGATACTTTTAATTTCTTTCCCATTTTCCAAAGTCCATCTCTTTTAAAGTGTTCTCACTCTGGTAGAGCATGACATTGAATGTTCAATCATCTCTTCACAACCATGATAGCCCTTCTACTGTGGGCCAGGCACTTTTCATTTGGTGTGGAAAAAATAATTCAGTTTTGCTCCCCTATCTTTTCAGTAAGATTCCATTTTAACTAAGAATGCTTTCTGAGTGTAAAATCTGATACCAAATAAAGAGTTTGTCGTTTTTTAACACTTCATCAGAAGGTGTTTTCTCATCATGAGATGACTACTTTCTTAAATAAATTGAACCAAGGGGATACTGTTTTTCCTTTGTCAGCCTGAGAGATGACTCCTTACTAACTTGATGTTTTCTACTTGCCTATAAGCTTTAGAAGTTTGGGTGGCTGGCATGTAGTTGGATGTTGCCGTTGCATTAAGCTGTCTTCCTGCTGTCACTCCCTGAATTGTTCTATCAATTATATATTGCTGAATAACAAAATAACCCCAAAATTTGGTGGCTTAAGACAACAAGCATTTATTTTGCTTATGATCTTGCAGGTCAGCAATTTTGTCTGAGCTGTTCTTATAGCCTTACCTGAACCCCTTCAAGTGTCTGCAATCTTTGCTGGGTTCTTTCACTTTCATGCAGCCTCAGTTTGGACAACGAGGCTGATTTTCTTTGTTCTATATTGTCTATTATTGCTCAGCATGCTATAGATTTGTTCACATAGTAGAGGCCAGTGTCTCAAGAGAGCCAGTAGACCTACACAAGGCTTCTTAGCACAAAAAAAATCACATCTACTGCATTTTATTGGTCATAGCAAGTCATGAAGCCAGGCCAGAATCACTTCTTTATGGGAGGAGCAGCAAAGTCACATTGCAAAGCATGTGGTTACCTGGAGGGGTGAAGAATTGTGGTTATTTTTGCGATCTACTGCAGCTGCAATTTCTGTATTCGGAAGCATCACCTGGTGCTGTTTTGTAGGATTCAGCAATGGCGATGGGCCCATTAGTGAGAGCGACGTTTTCAGGAAGGCCTCGGAGCAGCTGGTGAAGTACATGAACTCAGAAAACCAGTTATTGCATAAAAACTTCCTGAAGCAAGAGGTAGTTCAGAGGTTCTTGTGCCTCCTTTCTTCTCTGCAAGGTAATTTTTTTCACAACATTCAGTTGTGTTAAAGATGTTTATGTCCATTAAAACTCTTTTCTAATATATTTTTAAAAATTAAGTTTTAAACATAAAAGTAATGTATCTACATGTAAAACATTCAAACAGCACAGAATATTCTTCAGTGAAAAGTCTATTATGTACCCCTGAACTTCAGTCTCTAAATCCCACCCCCAGTAACCTTTGTTACTATTTTTTACTGTATTCTATTAGAATTACTCTTTGTACATACTGTCATTTTTTAAATACCACAGATTTCTGTCTCTTGTATAGATTCTGGCTAATATTGGAGAATAAAGTTATTGTAGAATTGAATATTCCTTTTTTTTCATTATGGGAAAACCAGGAAACTTCTAGAAAAGGACTTTGGCTGACAAAATTTAGATAATTAAGGAAGATTCCAGAAATCATAAGTAGGTGAAATTTAGCATTTTTGAAATTGACATAAACCTGAAATGTCTCAATTTTATAAAGAATGTTTGAAGCCATGGCCAGAGGAACAAAAAATACTTTTCAGGGTATATGACAAATGAAAATATTTAAGGCGTGGAGTTTTGCATTTGAGTTTTGCCTCCATCACTTATCAGATCTGTGACCTTGAGCCAATTGCTTATTCTCTTTATGCTTCAGTTTCTTCATCCCCCCTGCCTTGGCTGGGGAACTAACATCATAAGATAATGGATGCAGAACAATTAGTCCAACATCCTGTGTGTACAGTGTTAATACTCATTAGCTGTTAGGGTAGGTTGAGATGAGGTTAGGTTGTCAGACTGGCCTTTCTTTCTTGGATATGGATGGATCAAAGATAAATAGCACAAAGCACAAAGATAAAAGACTCCAGGATGGGGCCACCTTGGGTAGAATCTGTTAGATACAGACAATATGTGCAGACTACACCTAGGGAACCTTTGTTTTCATTTGACCCATGACCCATGAAGACTGTCTTTATCCTTAGGGTTGTGAAAATAAAACTTGACTTATTGGTATTTGGTAAAAAATCTCATAAAGCCCACAAGATGGGAATGCTGCTACTTGAATGTCCTGTGTGTCTTTAGTCTGTGTTCCCATGCTTACGTTGTTTCTCTGTAGAGTATTGTGTGTATTGGTGTGTGGGTTCTTCTTTCTCTCACTTTGGCTAGGTTACTTTCCTTTTCCTCTCTATTCCCTATTCTTTGTATCTTTACTGAAGGCCTTTTCCCCAACTCTTTTCCAGAGTTGGGTAGGTCTCTAATCTAACAAACCTTTTTTTTTCCTCCTTATTTTTCTCCTTTATCTCCTCTTTGTATCCTTAATTGGCCATAGGTTTGGATATTTTAGTGCAGTTTCTACTGGAAGAGACAGATTCAAATGGCTTAAATTGGCAAAAGCCGTTTTTTTTGACTCTTATGATAGAAATATCAGAGCAAGCTTCAGGTACAGCTGGCTTCAGGTATTTAACTGATGTCACTAGGACACATTATCTCCCATCTTTCAACTCAGCTAGCCTCTGGTTGGCTTCTATTTCAGACTTTCTGTGGAGATGAAAATGAGGATTCTAATTTATGACTTGGGTAGCATTTCCAGACTTGTGGCTTTAGCTCTCTCTCAGTGGATTGAATAAACATCAGAGGTTTCAGTTTTGATTGCAGTGTGTACCTCTGAATCCAATACCTGTGGTCAGGGTAATAAAGAGTCTTGGTTGGCTTAGGTCCAAATTATGTGCTGCCCTGTCCCATCCTACCTTAACAGAGAGTGCTGGAGGGCGGGAGAATGCTGTTAGCAGAAGATGAGCAAATAGATCCAAGGGAACAAAAATTGCAAATGCCTATTTTAAAAGTTTGCCTTTTATACTTTTATTCCTGTTAAAATAAGATGATAGACTAGCCTATATTTAATGTTTTCTTATTTTAAAATGAATATTTTAAATATTAAAATGAATATTCATTTTAGAAGACTTAGCAAAGGATGGGAAACAAAAACTAGCAAATGCAAATCAAGTTGCTCTTATTTAGGTAATCCTTGATTTCTCCCCTTCTGCTCTCCCTCCCTGCTTTCTTACTGGTAGTGCTGCCAGACAAAATACAGAATGCCCAGTTGAATTTGAATTTCAGAGAAGCAATGAATAATTTAGTATAAATATGTCCTAAATATTTTATATATATACTTACACAAAAAATTTATTGTTCATCTGAAGTTCAAACTCATCTGGCATCCTATATTTTTATTTGTTAAATTTGACCATCTGCTTACTGAAGATGTATTTAAAAAGTTTTCCACCCTTAAGATTTACCAAGATTATGAAATGGAATAACAGTTATTCTGTCTCTGGACATCAACGATCAGATGGAAACACATATATCGTGATAAAAAATTAAGAATTGAGGGCTAAACCATCCTCTAACCATTAACCCATAACTCTCAACTTTTTAATTATTCTGTAGTATCTCCCTGTATTTCCTGTATTTCAATGTTTATTAAGCAGGACATACTGTTAATATTATACAAAATTTAAATCAGGCTTTTGCCCTTTTGATCTCAATAGACTACCCTAAACTCAAATATTCTGCCTTAAGACACAATTATCATCTGCTGTCCCCTAGGCAGGGCTTTGTACTCTTTATAGAGCAATTCTAACTTTCTTGAGAAGTCTCAAGGTCAGTACTTACACTGGTGTTCATGAGTGGTTACCTAACATACCCAAAGTAATTAATTATTTGTCTATAGTTTCGCCAGTGCTTAAAAATACTGACCTATAATCCATGTTAATTATGTATGGATGTAGTTGAGGAAGGAAGAAAAATCATATGAATATTTTTGGAATGTGCTTTATTCTTATTTTTAAAGAAATTCCTCCTGACCTGGTCTGTGACATTAATCGAGACTGTGCCAATACCTTCATCAAGTTCTTACTGGAAAAACAGAAATGGCCAGAAGTGCTTCTGCTACTGACTGGCAAAGTAAGCGGGAAGCCACCGCTTAGAGATTGCCTCATCAAAGACTGCAACTTGTCAGACCTAGACATCTGTACCATCATCCCCCACCTCTGTGCCTGGGACCGGCGGAGGACTCAGCTCCTGGGCTGCCTGATAGACGGTGGAGGTGAGAACGATTGGATGATAAGCATTGGAGAATTGTCTAAGGTGTCCAGACAGGGGAGTCCAGGCCACTGTCTGCCTTTCCTCTGTTGTTGGAGACCCCATGACTTTCTACCTCATTCTCTCACCTGTATCTTCATGTTTTGAAACAGTAGTGTAGGTTACTGCTCAGTGAGTTGCCCCATAGGAACTCTGCATTTTTGTGAATTCCAGTTATTCCCCTCTCCCTGCTCCCCTGCTTCTCTTTTTCTTTTGTGTGGGGAAATCAGGTATGTGGAGGGTCCTTGGCTCTGTTTTAGCCCACAGTGGTCATCTCCTCCTGATCTCTGGATAGACTTTTCCCTGTACAGGATGTGTTGTGTGTATCCTCGTCAACTCTTCTGGCATTCTTTTCTAATCAGTTTAGGATTGGAGATGCTTGATTTTAAAGAAATAGCCAAATAATTGGTGGGTAGAACCATCCGCTGCTTTAAACAGAACAGTCCTACATGGCTGGGTGTGTGGCTGGAGTGTGCAGACATCTTGCTTGATTGAGTTTTATTTTCAAACTAATTAGAAACACCAACTTTCTCCCACCCCATCCCTCATACTTCTACTAATGCCACTACAAACTGCAGCCCTGAGTATGCTATTTATGACCTCGTCTCCTCATTTGTAAAATAGGAATGATGATAGTCTGTCTTTCTTAGGCCTGTTTTGAATATTAAATGAGTCAATGTATGCAGGCTTTTGAAAGAGTACCTTGGCTGTGTGGTTTTCTGCTTGCTCTGCCCTGTAAGGGAAAATGGCCTTCATAAGGAGCAATAACACATTGGTCCTCAGCCCTCAAAGTGCCATACACAGTGCAAAGCCTTTATGTGTTGCTTCTACCCACAGCCTTCAGAAGGTAGATGCAGTGGCTTCTCCAATTTATTTCTTCAAACCTCTTTCTTGCATGGCATGTTACTTCCTTTGTCTGGACCTATAGCTGCTTTGGAATTCCTGTTTTATTCCTTGATTCAGTGAGCACTTATAGAGCACCTCCAAGGATCAGTTGCTAGGAACTGAGTCCACAGAGGTGAATGTACAGCTGTTGGAGGTGTATGCAGGAGAGCTGCAAAGCTGCAGTGGTGGGTCTGCCCTCTGGTGATGGTCAGGGAGCCTCAGTGCAGAGGGGCTCTGTGCACTGAGCTAATAGGAAGGTGATGTGGGAATGGAGAGGCATCAGGGAAGATGGAAGTTCAGGAGAGAAGCAAGGGTATAGAAAGTGTGCTCATACCAGTTGTGTGTCAGGTATGGTATTAGGCAAGCATTAGGGTTTCAGTTATTCTCATGCCCTGTCCTCACTGCAAGGCGATGCTGATGGTCAGAACTATGCTTCTGTGGTGGGATAAGATGGGAGCTGGAGAAGTAGTGGGGCATGGCCCACACACAGGGCACTTGAAGGAGCTGGACTTTCACCCTGAGGGCTCTGGAAAGCCTTTGTCTCCCAGAAAGTGTGGTGGTCAGAGGATCTTGGAAGTCAGGTCTGCATCAACTCTTCCCTTGTAACTGATTGGCAAATGTGGCCCCTCCCAAATCAGGCAAGCTAGGCTGTGCCACCTCACAGGGGTGTAGCTCACAGTGCCCTTCCCTTCTGCCCTCTCCCAGCCTCGCCTGAGGGTCTCCAGGAGAGCCGGGATACACCACTTGTCATGTGCCTGAAACACAAGGACTTTGAGTTGGCTTTCCTTCTCCTGACCAAGGGTGCAGATGCCCGTGGTATTTCTCTAACAGAAGGTGATACTCCTTTGCATGCGGCACTCTACATTTTTCTAGATATGAAAGGTAAGCCTTTGTTTTACAAGTGCTCTTTTACTTGAGGGGGAAGCTGGATATTAGAACTGAAGCTATGCTTTTTGGTCTTTCCTTTTGAGAAAACAAATGATATGAAAAAGGCCCACATCTCCTGGCCTTCACCTGTATCATGATGGGAAGTGGTGACCATCATGGTGAATGGTGAGGGTGGGCTGATTGAGAATTCTTAAGTTCCAAAGTTGGCCTTTGGTAGCTGACAGATTTCCATTTATGCCATTTTCAAGGATCCTGACATAAAGGATCTTGCCAGAATATTACAAGGCTATTTCAGGAGGTACTATTAACATTTGGACTGAATAATTCTTTGTTGTAAGGGGCTATCTTGTGCATTATAGGATATTTAGCAGTATGCCTGGTCTCTACCTACTTGCTGTCTGTGGCACCACCCTGGTTATGATAATCAGAAATGTTTACAGACATTGCCAAATGTCCCCTGGGGAGCAAATTGCTCTTGGTTGAGAACTATTGTGTTATTTAATGGGTATCAGATATTTTGGGGAGTCCAGAGTTCTGAGATGCCACAGGCTGGCATGTCTCTCAAACATAGGGTCTGTTCTCCCTCAGGAAGAGTGGCTCAGCATTCATAGCGTTTTGTTTGTGTCTTTCAGCTGACATCGGTTTTAGCTTTCTTAGTTACCTGTTGGATCTGTTCTGGTTCAATCCCACCGAATTTTATTACCTCAACCCCAACATCCAGGATAGCAATGGGAACACGCTGATGCACATCCTCTTTCAGAAAGGCATGCTAAAACGCACAAAGAAGCTGATAGACCTGCTGGTAAAGTTTGACATCAACTTCAACCTGAAGAACAAAGAAGGCAAAGATGCACGGCACCGGATTAAGAAGACTGACTCTTTGCTCTTGGCCTGGAACAAAGCTCTGATGGAGAACAAGCGAAGAAGCCGACAAGACCCTGCTGCTCACCTGGGGAAACCCCCAAGGTCTGCTACCCCTGGTCATATGTCTCAGCTTAAGTCCCAGGGTTCTTTCAGATCACTTCCATGCAGCACCACTGTCATAACCTCATCTGAAGGAGGTGCAGTCCCTGACAGTTGGGAGACTCTCCCAGATGCCCAGGTGACCAGGAAGGAGCCACACTGTCTGAGAGATCGCCTTGTGCAGGACATCACAGTTTTGATTCAAAAGGTTGAAGTGGATACATCCGTCCCAGAGGACTGTCCCCAGTGCTCTGAGCTACTGGAGACAGGAGCTGGCATGGAAGGAAAGAAAGATGAGCTCCAGCAAACCCTGGATGCCGGGGGCTCTGACTGTACTGGGAACAATCCTCCTGTCCCTGAGGCAGGGGAAGGACATGCTCAGGCTGGCCTTGGGGCCTTGCAGCTTGTTCCTGCTAGTAATAGACAGAGGGAGGGCAGTGATGATCAGGGTGACTGGAGCATGCAGGAGATCGAGGCTTGCCTCCAGGACTTTGATAACATGACCTGGGAGGTTGAGTGTACTTCAGAAATGCTGAAGAAGCTGTCCAGTAAGGTCATGACCAAGGTCATAAAGAAGAAAATTATCTTTGCCATTCAGCAGCTGGGGAATGGTGAGTGGACCCAGGGCCTTCAGAAGCGATTGAAGCACCTGAAAGGAAACATCCAGCTCTTTGAAGCTAAGCTAGACAAAGGAGCCCGGATGCTGTGGGAGCTTGCTATCGACTTCTCCCCTCGATGCAGTGAGAATCCAGAGAAGATTGTTGCTACAGAGTGGAACACATACTCTATGGAAAAGTCAGGGCGAGTCTACACAGAAATCATCCGGATTTGGGACATCGTCTTAGATCACTGCAAACTGGCAGATTCCATCAGGGCCATTTGCAGTGCCTACAACCGGGGCTTGTCCTGTGTCCTGAGGAAGAAGCTGAAAGGTATCAACAAAAGCCAGGTGTCAGCTAACATGAAAATCCAAAAGCGTATACCCCGCTGCTATGTAGAGGACACAGAGGCAGAGAAGAGTAGGGAGCATGTTGATCCCGAGTACTTTCCCCCAGCCAGTGCAGTGGAGACAGAGTATAACATCATGAAGTTCCACAGCTTCAGCACCAACATGGCGTTCAACATCCTCAATGACATGACAGCGACGGTGGAGTACCCCTTCCGGGTGGGCGAGCTGGAGTACGCTGTGATCGACCTCAACCCCAGGCCACTGGAGCCCATCATCCTCATTGGGCGGAGTGGCACTGGGAAGACAACCTGCTGCTTATACAGGTTGTGGAAGAAATTCCACGTTTACTGGGAAAAGGCTGAGCAAGCAGGCAGCCCATTACTGGACAAACAGATCTTGCCGAAGAGAAAGTTGGAAGTGGAACCTGGAAAAGAGGGTCCAAGTGGGGAGGAGGAGGAAGATGATGAGGAAGAGGAAGTTTCCTTCAAAGTGAAAACAGTAGACAGCATACATGAGGGGCTGGAGAGCAAAGCCTGTGCAGGTGGAGCTGGTGTGGAGCCTGTAGGGGTCAGCCAAGCAGCAGACGTATGTACACCAGGACATCCCCACCAGCTGGAGCATTTACATCAGATCTTTGTGACCAAGAACCATGTCCTGTGCCAGGAGGTACAAAGGAATTTCATTGAGCTTTCCAAGTCTACCAAGGCTACGAGTCACTACAGACCACTGGAACCCAACATTCACAAACTCCAGGACCTGAGGGACGAGAACTTTCCTCTGTTTGTCACTTCCAAACAGCTGCTCCTCCTGCTTGATGCTTCTTTGCCAAAACCGTTTTTCCTGAGAAATGAAGATGGAAGCTTGAAAAGAACCATTGTAGGATGGTCCACGCAGGAAGAGTTGCCCATTCCCAATTGGCAAGAGGATGAGGAGGAGGCTGAAGTGGACGGGGACTACAGTGAGGAGGATAAAGCTGCAGAAGTGCGTGCAGGTGACAGTGACCCACGGGTGTATGTGACGTTTGAGGTGTTCACCAATGAAATATGGCCCAAAATGGTCAAAGGAAAGACCTCCTACAACCCTGCACTGATTTGGAAAGAAATAAAATCTTTTTTGAAGGGTTCTTTTGAGGCCCTTAGCTGTCCCCAGGGGAGACTCACTGAAGAAGCATATAAGAAATTGGGGAGGAAACGGTCCCCCAATTTCAAGGAAGACCGGAGCAAAATCTACAGCCTTTTTTGTGTATATCAGCAAATCAGATCCCAGAAAGGTTATTTTGATGAGGAAGATGTTCTGTACAACCTATCCCGGAGGCTGTCCAAGCTCAGGGTACTCCCATGGTCCATCCACGAGCTCTACGGTGATGAGATTCAGGACTTTACTCAAGCTGAGCTAGCACTGCTGATGAAATGCATCAACGACCCTAATGCCATGTTCCTCACTGGGGACACGGCCCAGAGCATCATGAAGGGTGTGGCCTTCCGCTTCAGCGATCTGCGCTCTCTGTTCCACTACGCCAGCAGAAACAACATAGACAAGCAGTGTGCTGTCCGGAAGCCCAAGAAGATCCACCAGCTATACCAGAATTACAGGTCCCACTCAGGTAGGTCCAGGCCTTGGGCTCGCTTACTGGTGGTGGTTTGGCACAGACCTTGGGCTACTTTTGAAGCCACAGGCTAATTCTTATTAAGCTTTTGCAACTGAAGTAAGGGTAGTATTTTGGAGTTTGTTAGTAAATAACAAACTCCATCAATAAGCTATCTTATGATCTTGCTACCACTCATTCCTAAGTTGATAATTCAATCTCTGGTTGGGTAGAAATGGAGCTTTAAGTAATTATATCTGAAGGAGCTTGCCATGATAATGAAAACATTTCAAGGGAACACTTAAACTGCGTGAGAACTTTTGTTTAAAAACTTTGGAAATACCTGCTTATTCTATATAAAGTAACATACCAGTTACAAGTCATTAATTTTTAAAGCAGCTTTTCTCCTAAGGATAAACAAAACAAAGAGGATGGGGAGATAGTGGGAGCTAACACACACTTAGGTTCTTTTAATTTATATCTCAGTTATGCCCCTTCTCTGTGCCTGGCATGGTGCTAAGCAGTTTACATATAGCACCTATGCTTAATCTTTACACCAACCCTACAGGGTAGGCATTAGCTCCATTTTACAAAGGAGGAAATTGAGGCACAGAAGGTTTAAATAACATGGTACCAAAGCTGGAATATTTCCATTATATTTTATATATACTAATAAATTCACCTCCTATGTCCTACAAGTATCCATGAACAATATTGAGTATTATTTTACATATTTAGAAACTTTATTTAATGGGATAATGCCTGACATATTCTTCTGCAACTGTGGATTTTTGTCTAATGTTTTTGAGATTTCATAAACATATTGATAATGTAGAACTCTAATCCATACATTGAGACTCTCATAGCAAAAAATTCACCCATTTGAAATGCACAATTTAGTAGCATTCAGTATATTTACAAGGTTGTGCAACCATCACCATTATATAATTCCAGAACATTTTCACCACCCCCAAAAAACCCCATAACCATGGTAGTCACTATTCGTTGCCCCCCTCCTCCCACTGTATGGCAATGACTCATCTTTCCGTTTCGGTGGATTTTCTTATTGTTGACATATATGAGTGGAATCATACACTATGTGGCCTTTGTGTCTGGTTTCTTGCACTTAGCATAATGTTTTTAAGGCTTATCCATGTCATAGCATGTATTAGCACTTCATTCCTTTCTATGGTTGAACTGTTGTGGTTTTATCAAAAATGACCTATCTAGTCCCCTAGAAGGACATTTAAGTGGATTCTAGTTTTACCACTGCAGTGAATATTTTCATGCCCTTTTCTGATTCTTCCATTAGTGTAGCTAGATCTTTGGCCCTTGCTAGGTCTTTTTTTTTTTTTTTTTTTTTTTTTTTTGTTGCCCAGGCTAGATAGAGTGAGTGCTGTGGCATCAGCCTAGCTCACAGCAACCTCAAACTTCTGGGCTCAAGCAATCCTGCTGCCTCAGCCTCCCGAGTAGCTGGGACTACAGGCATGCGCCACCATGCCTGGCTAATTTTTTCTCTATATATTAGTTGGCCGATTAATTTCTTTCTATTTATAGTAGAGATGGGGTCTCGCTCTTGCTCAGGCTGGTTTCGAACTCCTGACCTTGAGCAATCTGCCTACCTCAGCCTCCCAGAGTGCTAGGATTACAGGCGTGAGCCACCGTGCCCAGCCCCTTGTTAGGTCTTGATGGGGAGGGGACCACAGTACCAGTTGATTTGCTTAGATTCAGCAGTTTCCACTTGTGCTCATGATTGCTTTACAGTTGTATACTTTTAATAATAGTAGTATTGGATAGTAAAATTTATCTTTACTGTTTGATAATAGCAATGGGGACACACTGGCCCATTTCATGGTGTTCTACCTAGACCATTGTGTTTTACTGGGCATTAGGCAAAGGGCACATGGCCTTTAAGAGTAGTGGAGAAACCCAGGAAGATCTGTTTTCAATCCAGCTTCAAATTCCATCACTTGGAGGTGTTCATTAACTTAGCAGACTTCAGAATCCATTTGTAAAAGTGCAATTGTCTCATTCGTCTCACTGAATTGTTGTGAGGATTTGGTTTTAGGGCATTAAACAGGATGATTTTTATGAAGGTACCTATATTATGGTAGGCATTCAGTGAATGTCACTATCAGTGTCACTTTAGGGCTTAGAGAAGGCATGGGACCCAGGGAGAAAAGCTCTTTGGAAAATCTTCTCTCCTGTTCTGACAATTTTTATTAGTGTAGTCCTTTCTCAACTGGGTATAAATCTGATAGAAAAGGGGTGACAGAGGCCTTGGTTGCTCTCCCCAGCTAACATTCAACACTGCTGTTACCATGGCAATGTTGCTGCTTGTGCTATAAGCACCAATGAGAAGGGGGCAGGGTAATTCTTGTTTTCTTACCATAGGCTATAATAGCCCCTTATATGAGCTCTAATTGTTTAGATTACATTTCTGCCTCAACTCTTCTTTGTGAGGTAATTTTCTCTAATATGAATATAGGTTGAGAATGAGATCCCACAAAACCCTCTGAGCATAGCAACACATCTCTGCTGTCATCCACTGCATCCATAGTAGTAGCTTGGGGCTGCAGTGATAATCCAGAGGGAACTGTAAATAGTCTTGCAATCATACATCCCCCAAATCTGCTTCTCAGGAAAAACACAAAACCATCCTACTCCCCCCAAATAACCAAAAACCTCAGCCATGTTATACAATATCTGACATGTGTTTTCTGTTTTATCCCAGGAATCCTCAATCTGGCATCTGGAGTAGTAGACTTACTTCAGTTCTATTTCCCAGAATCTTTTGATCGCCTTCCGAGGGATTCTGGCCTCTTTGATGGTCCCAAACCAACTGTCCTAGAGTCTTGTAGTGTAAGCGACTTGGCAATTTTGCTACGAGGGAATAAAAGGAAAACCCAGCCCATTGAATTTGGAGCTCACCAGGTAAACTTCTTGGGATTGTATATTTTGAAATCAAAGGCAGTTTGCAATTGAAAAAAGGTTTGAGAGTACCCTTATTCCACAAGGTAGAATTCAATAGCCCCTGTTGGAGAATGGGTCAGTTCCAGAGATGAGTGAGGGAATAAATGTTATTATTTCCACTTGTCTGGCTGACCAAGTTCATGCTGATCATTTCTCTTTAAAGACATTACCTGCCTCCTGTAGAAACAGACTGAACTTCACCAAGTTTTTGCTTGTGGAATTTGATGTTCTTTTGTTTTTCTTCAGGTAATCCTTGTAGCCAATGAAACGGCAAAAGAGAATATTCCAGAAGAGCTAGGGTTAGCACTTGTGCTAACAGTTTATGAAGCAAAAGGCTTAGAATTTGACGATGTCCTCCTTTACAACTTTTTTACTGATTCTGAGGTATGTTATACTGAATTCTTTTCACACAGAGGATGTATATGTGATGTGAACTTCCACTCTGGGCACAAGAATTTGGAGCTGAGGATAAGAGAGTTTGTCACAGGTGCCGGCTTGTATTTTGGAACATCATCCATTTAGTGTAGGGTTTTGTATGTTTAGCTGGGAGTTTTGACAGTGGCAGTTGGTTGTTTCACAGTGTGTCATGGACTGGTTCTCCCTATACCCTGCCCTTCCTTGGCTCTCTTGTATTTGTCTTTACGGAATTCCTAGTACCCAAGTGCCAGTATCCAGTTTTCATTAGCCACTGTTATTCTTGGCTCCCAGGAATGTACAAGTTGGATCAAGCTCTAAGGAGAGTCTTACAAGTGAAGGCAAGGCTAGCAATGTCCACCCTATGAGGACAGAACTGGGCAAGGTCAGTACATAGAGACAACTCCAGGAAGCCAAATGAAGCTTGGTTCCCACTACCTGGATCAGGTAATCAGAGGGACCAGAACAGCTGCCTTACATGGGAGCCTCCTTCTGGCATAACTTCACCACCACTACTTACAGCCCACACAGATGATGGCAGGGAAAGTGTCCCCAGATTGACCCTGAGTGACTTCTGTGTTGGCCCATTGCTTTCACTCGGCTCCTAAGTCCTTGTGATGGGTTTTTCCCCCATGCTTAGTTCATTATGGGTAGATCTACCAACTCAAGGCCATTGTCATGGGTTTTTCTAGCCACTGGTTTCTTTGTATCACTGTCTTTTGGTGGGATTCAGGCTGGCTGCTGACTGTGCTGTGGGATCTTCTTTGGGGACTTAGCTGGCTGTGTCCTGGTCCCTATTGCAGACTTCCAATGCACGTGGTGCATGCTTGAAGGGGCTATTTTATACCAAGGTCAGGAGCACTGTTGGCTTTGATACCTTAAATCTTTCCCAGAACTGAGCCTTTAAATATAGTTCTTATTTTTTTTTTGTCATTTTTTAATGTCATATTTGCCTTAATAAAACCTATGACTATAATATTGTTATGGATGCTTTACAGTTTGTAAAGTACTTTTTGAATGTATTGTCTCACTTCACTAATACTTTGAGGTTATATGTATTTTTATTACTCTCATTCTAGTATAGATAAAGCAGAAGGTCATTGAGGTTAAGTAAATTGCCCATAGTCATAATGTAGGTGGCAGAGTTTGGAGATAAACTTAGATGCTTTGAGTTTCCATTGTCCTCCCATCCTTTTAAAGCTTTGCATGTGAATTGGCTTCTAGAACAAAGAGCATATTATTGCCATTTCTTATGTACATTCCTTTTCTGTTAAATTTTGCTAATAAAATCAGATGCATACTCATTAATCCTGGTACCATTTTTAATTTCTAAGGACTGTTTTTTTCTAATAATAAATTCCATCAGTCATGGTTGGACTGAGGCTCTCCTTAAAGAGGAAAGGGTAATACTTTGCTATTCCTGTCCTTTATTAAGTGCCAATTACATGCTTGTGCCAGTAAGATGCTCAAGGACCTCTAGTCTTAAGGATCTGTAACTTGTGGTTGGCTCTGTTTGTAAAAGAAAAATCAAGTTACTCTGTCTTACCTTGATTCTGGAAATGGCAAAAGCTTGAATATCTTAACCCTATGCTCCCACCAATGGCTCAGTGAGTTGCACAAAATTAAAACAATCCCAAACTGAATTTTTTATTAACATTCACATCATCCTATCTACAATAAAAAGACTTTTGATGTGGTGCTTTCCAGCGTTAAATGTGATCATGTGTTCCCTGGCACAAAGTATACCTTTGTTTTATTATTTACAACCTGCAGACCAAAAAGAGTCAGTCAACAAATGAGAAGAAATACTTTAACAGAAGGAGAGGAAAGACAGATCACATATATCCCCAGCCTCCGTGGTCTGGCTGCTCATCTGGGGCTATTTTGCAGTGAGTGGTTGAAGGCTGCTGAACAGTAATTGCTATTTGACCATGGGGAACTGTGGGGATCTTCTCTCTCATTCCCTGGCCTCTTTTCCCACCTCTTATTTATGTTTCAGGCAAGCACTCTCTTTGAAGCAGCTGTTTCCTGGGCTTATGTGTGGGAGAGTGGGGTTGGGGGTCCTTGTTGCCCTGGTTTGTGATTCTTCTCTCTGGAGGATTTATTGTTACCTGTTCAACCACGTGGTCACCAGAGCCATCTTTTGAGTTGGAATGGCTACACCAAACCCTTCTCTTATAGGAAGTTGCCTCATCTTTGGGGGAGAGACATTCATTCTTACAGTCATCCTCAAACTGTCCTCCTGTGGGGACATGGAAGGGTGACTGCCATTTATGCTCTGTCCCGTGGAATTCCTGTCTTTCACATTCATGTGTGAATGGGACTGGAGGGACTTTGAAAGCCACAGCCTTTATGGGTTGTCTGACTTAGAGCACAGGTAGAGCCTGTCAATGGTAGGCTTGCTAGTAAAATCTAAGCCTTTTCCTTCATGATCTTTGGTTCCAAGAGAAGAAGCTGGAAGATTTTTAAATGCTGTTGCTTTTATTGCCATAAGTGCTGCAGGCCTGTATCTTTGCTACAAGTACATGTGTTCCTTCCTAAAGAGCGTCATCTTGAAAATAAAATGTGTTTGATTCATGGAAGCAGGTCAGTCATGTGCCATCTGAGCAGCTTTTGCTTTTCTTCCAGCAGTTTTAAAATACAATGTGCTTCCCTAGCTTTTTCAAGGTCAGCCAGTCTGCACCTCATCCTGCCTGCTAGGAGGATCCTCTCAAATGTCAAGTACTTGTGTCTTCTGCCTACTTTCCTTGGCAAACAATTTAGTTTGTCTATTTAGCTTCACAAAGAGGATAGTCATAAATATGTCCTAAAGATTTTTTTTAAACCTTCCACTACTTAAATGATTTCATGATTAACATCTTTTTTCAGAACATAGCAATTAATTTCATAATTGATTAGTAATGTAACCATTCCTATTTAATAGACAGTATTTAAGGAATTTAACCCAATTTATATAGTTCAAGTTATGGAATAATTTAAAGCAGATAATAAATTGTATAACCGCTTTATAAAAAAGACAAGTAAAGGTTAGGAGAGTTAACTAGCTTGCTCTCACAAGACACAGGAAAGTGTGAAATTTGAAATTTCTTAGGAATTTTTAATTCTAAATACTGCATGTAATATGGGTACTTCAGCGTTACCAAGGTCTGCAAACCAAGCTTTCTGGCCAAATCTACCCCACTGCCTGTTTTTTTTATGGCTTGTGGGCTAAGAATAGTTTTTACATTTTTAAATGGTTGGGAAAAAACCCAAAGGAGAATAATATTTCACGGCATGTGAAAATTATTTGAAATTCAATTTAGTGTTCCCAAATAAAGTTTTATTGGAACACAGCATACTTATCTATTTATGTACTGTGGCTGCTTTAGCACTACAATGGCAGAGTTGAGTAGTTGCAAGAAAGACTATGTAGGCTGGGCGGGGTGGCTCATGCCTGTAATCCTAGCACTCTGGGAGGCCAAGGCAGGTGGATTGTTTAAAGTCAGGGGTTTGAGACCAGCCTGAGCAAGAGCGAGACCCTGTCTCTACTAAAAATAGAAAGAAATTAATTGAACAACCAAAAATATATAGAAGAAATTAGCTGGGCATGGTTGCACATGCCTGTAGTCCCAGCTACTCGGGAGGCTAAGGCAGGAGGATCGCTTGAGCCCAGGAGTTTGAGGTTGCCGTGAGCTAGGCTGGTGCCACAGCACTCTAGCGCAGCAAAAAAAAAAAAAAAAAAAAAAAAAGACTATGTAATCTGCAATGCCAAAAATATTTATTATCTGACCTTTTAGTGAAAAAAATTAGCAACCCTTGGTCTACACAGTCACTTTGATTTTGAGCTTTGGGTAAAGGAAAAATGAGGACAATATCAACTATTTATCATTGTACTAGACATTTGACATTGATTATTTCTTTTTATTTTCCCAACAATGTTGGATAGTATTATCCACATTTTACAGAGCAAGATAATAAACAATGTATCCAAGGTCACATAATTAATAAGTGGAAAAACTGAGATATGGATTTTTTCTGTCTCACCTGAGAGTCTGCCTTGCACAGTATACCCCATAGCACCTGAATTTTCTTCATCCTTGGCTGAATAATTTAGTTAGAATATTCTGCTATATATGTCTTAACTGTTGATCCTAAGTGGCATCTCTTAACCATGTTTGAGAAGGGGTGAGGATTCCTCTGTCCATTCTGTTTGTTAAAATTCTTTCAATGAGAATAAATTTCCGGGCTCTTAGCATTCCTCCTCTAAGTGGGCATATGTAACTGGCTTCTTAGCTGTCTTGGCCATGTGTCTGGGAAATTTTCACAGGAGCTTCTCTGATCCCTGCCTGTGCAACCTGAGCACCTTCCCATCCATTCTAAGACCACAAGGTGGACCTTCCTCACAGCTGGGGTTGAAAGCCTGGCTCCCAAGTAGGGCATAATTCTTTGTGAAGCTTGGGGAGGCTGTGTTTACAGTTCAAAAGCATATTCTGTTGGTCTTTAATTTGTTGTTGTTCAGGCTTACAAGGAATGGAAGATCATTTCCTCATTTACACCTGCATCATCTGACTCCAGAGAGGAAAACTGGCCATTGGTTGAAGTGCCCCTGGAGAAGCGGAGCTCCTTTCAGAGTCGGTCTCTCATGGTGAATCCAGAAATGTACAAGGTGAGTTTCTGCTATTTATTAATATGCTTATTTGATATGGAACCAGTAAACAAGGCTTAGATGAGAAGATTAGATACAAAATGGAGGCTTGCACTTGCCTCCGGGTATAGGTTTTCCTGTACAGCTACAACAGGGTGGGAAATGAGCAAGGGGGAGGGTCAGGGATCCCAGCAGAGAGTTAAGCTTGATGGGTGGGTCCTGTCTGAAAGTGGAAGGGGGAGGGTTGTACCTTCTAGTCACCCTTGGAACTAAGCTCAATTCAGAAATTTTGATGCAATCCATGGGGTAGGTCTTGAGTAATTTAGTACTAATGATAGTTACAATAGAAGTGTATGGCCGCACATGGTGGTGTGCACCTGTAGTCCCAGCTACTTGGGAGGCTGAGGCAGGAAGATTGCTTCAGCCCAGGAGTTTGAAGTGGCAGTGAGTTATGATGATACCATTGCACTCTAGGCTGGGAGACAGAACAAGACCGTCTAAAAAATAAAGTGTATTACTGGATTAACTTTTAAAAATAGGTCACAGCAATTGTGTAAGATATAACCATTGAGGTATACTGAGTGAAGGGGACTTGTCTGCTAGCTTTGTAACTTTGGTGAATCTATAATTATTTCAAAATTATAGCAAAGACAGAAAAAGCAGAAGAAAAATTATGGCAGATTCAGGGGTCATCTTGTACAGATGGTGTGGGAAAGGGCTGGAGTTTCTCATAGCTTCAGTAGAGCCTTACTCACCTATGCTGCAGTCACAGTGAGCTCCTGGTGCCCTGCTCCCACCCGTGCTGTGCTTCTCCAAAATTTGGTTTTTGTATTTTGCCAAAATCAGAGTAAGCCCATTGACGTGTGTCATGTTGCAGCTATAGACAAAAGGCTCATCATCTTTGTCTTCGATATTATCTTTAGCTCCTCAATGGAGAGCTAAAGCAGCTGTACACTGCCATCACACGGGCTCGGGTCAACCTCTGGATCTTTGATGAAAACCGGGAGAAACGGGCTCCCGCGTTCAAATATTTCATTAGAAGAGATTTTGTCCAAGTTGTGAAGACAGATGAAAATAAAGGTAAGATCTCATTGAAATATTCTCACTGTTGTAGGAAGCATGTTTATCTCAACTATTCTTATGGTCAGATATAAAGAGTATAGTTTTTAAAAAGCACTTTCTTTCCACAATCTTCTGAGACATAAGAGTTGTTATTCATTTGTTAAGATGTCTGGGAAAATATGGTAGTAGTGGGCTTGAGAGGGTTAACTCCTTCAGGGCAGACATTTTATTTGTCCTTTAAAAGTGAGAGTCATGGATGGAGTTAGAGGTAATAGGAGCTGTTGGGAGAATACAAATTGCTAGGAGATTTTGGAAAGCTGATTGACAATATCTATCAAAATTAAGATTGCACATACCTTTTGACCCAGCACTTTCACTTATAGAAATCTGAGATATTTATGTTCAACATCTCAAAGATATATGTATAAGTTTGCTCATTACAACCTTGTTTGTAATTACAAGAAACTAAAACAACCTAAGTATCTACCAATGGGCAAAAGGCTAAATGTAGTTCTTTCATCGGACTACTATGCAGTCATTAAAAAGAATAGGGCAGATTTCCATTTACTGACATAGAAAGATGTTCAAGATGTATTAGATGAAAAAAGGGCAAAATTTAAAGCAGTATGTATATAATGAATTTGTAAGTAACTTTATATAACGCAAATATAAAAGGTTTTTTTGTTTATTTTTATTTTGGCATATTATGGGGGTACAGATTTTAAGGTTTCAATAAATGCCCATTTTCCCCCCTCCCCCCACAAGTCTGAGTCTCCAGTATGACCATCCCCCAGATGGTGCACATCTCATTATGTATGTATATACCCGCCCCCTCCCCCCTCCCACCTGCCCAATACCCTATTACTGTAGTACCTATGTGACCACTTAGGTGCTGTTCAGTTAATACCAATTTGCTGGTGAGTATATGTGGTGCTTCTTTTTCCATTCTTGGGAAACTTCACTTAATAGTATGGGTTCCAGCTCTAACCAGGAAAATATAAGATGTGCTATGTCACCATTGTTTCTTAGAGCTGAATAGTACTCCATGGTATACATATACCACATTTTATTAATCCATTCTTGGATTGATGGGCACTTGGGCTGTTTCCACAGCCTTGCAATTATGAATTGTGCTGCTATAAACATTCGAGTGCAGGTGTCTTTTTTGTAGAGTGTCATTGGATCTTTTGGGTAGATGCCCAGCAATGGGATTGCTGGATCAAATGGTAGATTCACTTGTATCGCTTTAAGGTATCTCCATATTGCTTTCCACAGAGGTTGAACTAGTTTGCAGTCCCAATAAAAGCTTTTATGTATATCAGTATATATCAGAATAGAATATGCGTGTATATGTATGTATATACAAACACCTACTGAAGTCTTTAACTGTCAAACCCAATTCAGTTCCTAAGTTTGTATATCAAGAACTAGCTTTGTGAGAGTTCAGACAGTGGAGGATAACAGATTGTCTGAATCTGTTTGGTTCTTGAGTTTTACAAAAGAAGAACCGAGAGTTTGGATAGTAAGGGATTTATCAGAAGACTTATCTGTATTCAGATCCTGATTATGGGAACAAGGGTTTAAATAGCAAGAGTTTGGAGGGACAGCATGCCATGTAAATAAATGTATATACCTAATATTTCTGATGCAGAACGGTTTATAGTGGTTACTTCTGGTGTTAGGACTGGTGGCTGTGAGGTTGTGGAGTAGATATGGACACTTTTTACCTTTCACCTTTATGTCCTTCTGAGCTGTTTGCAGGGCTTAAAAAGCATCATATGTATTATTTTCAAAATTTACAATGATTAGTTAATTAAAAAATGGAGTGAAGGTCTTTTGACATAACTGAGAAGAGAAATAACTAGCCCTTCAAAATGAGAAAACTGTTGTCTTTCTTGAGGGTGAGTTATTCAGCTGGCTCCTCAAGGTCATAGTTAACTTCTCTAAGGGTAGGGCAAGGAGTAGGGTTTGGCTACTGTAGAGGGGATTGCTGGTTTCCTGAGCATTTCTCAGCTGGTTTTATGGAGGCTATTTCTGGTGATTGCTGATGGCTTGGTTGGGGACCAGGATTAGATTTCTATTCCTAGGACCTGGCTATTGTGGTGTGATGGGAAAAGTTGAAGGCTTGGAGTTAAGAAACATAACATCTCATAAAAATTCTCCTGTGTAGTTATATGACCTTGTTCAGGTCCCACTTTCTCTCCCTGCGCCTTTACTTTGTCAACTAAAATGAAAACAGTAGCATGGTCATTCTCAATCTTTCCTGCAGCTCATCTTTCCTTTTATTCCCAAAATATGTTCTGGCACCCACTATAAGAGATCATCAAGATATAGGTAATTTTTTTAAATTTAAAATTTAAAATGAAAAAGGATTGCAATTAATTTTGTGTTTTGGTAGCAAGGATGCAAAGTAGCAAGGTAGCAAGAATGCAGAATGCATTAAGGATGCAAGAAAAAGTACAGTCTTAAGTAATATAAGTTGTACATGGTAAACAAAGTATTGCAGAGCCTCTGTTCCTATTCATCATGCAAGGGAACTTGAGATGAGTGTAATGACTATGAAATTTAGATTTCATCAACATGGCACCTATAGAGTTCACTAACCCTGTTTTGAGATAATACAGGGTTTTGCTGTGGGAATAAAATGTCACCAGAACACTAATAGCACGTGTGGTGTCAGAAAAAGATGCTTTGAAGTCATCACTGCACAGTGCTACAGGGCACTAGCAGAGGGAGAGGGGAGGGATCAGGCTATGAGGCTTAATGTGTGTTTTTGCACCTTTTAAACAAATCTAGCATATTTTCCCGAATCTCCCAGTTGATATCCATTAGCCTGGGTATGTCTGATCCCTTCAGCTCTGACATTCATTGTCTTTTATGCATTTGTGAATCTATGGTTCAGAACCTGCAGGAATTGTCAGCCATTGTAGGTGATGCTATGGGGGCTGCAGGTGGGAGGGCGGATCCAGTCACCATCAGGCTAGTGAGGATAACAGAAAGGACAGAGAGCAGATCCTTATAATGGTTTGTGTCCACCAACAGGAATGTGTCATATTACTTACTATAGTGAGGGCACAGTCTGCATATTTGGACATACTATAAAATCCTGTCACCTTGTTTCTTGCTAAAGCCCTGATGGGAAGTTGCTAAGAACAACTTTGGCTTTGGATTTTCAAGGAGGAATTATTAATTACTATCTGTCTTCTGATTCGTGGCCATAGAAAACGAAAGAAAACCAAAATTCAAAAACCAAACTACATCCTTTCTCCCCTCCACCTCCTCCTTCCAATACCCTCACCAGTGTGGTTTGGTAAGCTAAAATATATCTTAAGCAAATACTAGAAAGGCAGCACAAGTATTAGTCTGGTCTGACTGCCATAACAAAACACCACAGACTAGCTGGCTTAAATAACAGTAGTTTATTTTCTCATAGTTTTAGAGGCTGGAAGTCTAAGATTAAGGTATTGGCAAGGCTGACTTCTTCTGAGGCCTCTCTCCTTGGTTTGCAGACAGTTGCCTTCTCTCTGTATCCTCACACATCTTTCCTCTGTGTTTACTTGCCCCTGGTATCTCTGTGTGTCCTAATTTCCTCTTCCAATCAGTCAGATTGGATTAGGGCCCACCCCAATGGCGTCATTTTAACTTAGTCACCTCTTTAAAGGCCTTGTTTCAACAATATACAGTCATATTCTGAGGTACTGGGAGTTAGGACTTTAACAAATGAATTTGGGGGGGAACACAACTCAGCCCATGACAGTAGGTTCAAGTGAACAATTGCCCAGAGAAGATAACTTGCTTTTCTTTTTCATTTTAGACTTTGATGATAGCATGTTTGCTAAGACCTCAACTCCTGAGGAGTGGATTGCCCAAGGTGAATACTATGCCAAGCACCAGTGCTGGAAGGTATGAGATTGGATTATGAACCGGGGGTAAGGGGTCTTTGTCACTGGAAGCGTTGTCAGGCCTCACAGGCAGGTTTCCCACTATTACATTTGTCACCAGCTCAGGATGGTGCTTGTGCTGTTTCTTCTGAAGCATCAGGTCACCTCAAGCTGAGGAGAGCTCCCTCTCCGGCTCCTTCCCCAGTCAATACAGACATGACAGCCCTTCATTTTGACCAAGTGCCAGCATGTGCTCAATAAGTAAATGGAGACCCATGGCCTTTGTCTCGCCAAGGAATCCTTCCATTTATTTTCTTTCTGTCCTGTATTCCGTGCTTAAAAGCTTTTGCTGTCATCACACCGCATTTTAAAACAGTATCAGATTGGTCTCTGGTTTGTTTTTTTGAGTTGATCAGACATAGATTGTACTGCCAGTCTAAGTCTGGTGAGCCATAGATTAAGCTTTATCACTAGACTGCATTGACCAATTTCCAGCTACAAGCCATCTTAGTGAGCCTGAACAGTCTTCTTCCAGGAAATGTTACCTCTGTAATAGACCTCTTAAAATGTCCAAACAAGATTAAAGGGCCCATTGCTTTCCCCACAGTCAGCATCTCTATGCATCACAAGGTCTCAGATGGGGCACAATGGCATGTGTGTTACCCATGAAGTAGTGGTAATGATGATTTCACCTGCAAGTTACAGACACTCAACTAAAAGAGTGGTTTTTGTTTTGTTTTAATCTATTATAACAACAGGAAGTTTGGTCTTAGGGTTGGTTCTGCAGCTCAACAAAGTCAGCATGGGCCCAGTCTCATTCCGTCTCTTCCTTGTGTCATCTGCAACTTGTCAGAGAAGTTCCCCTTCATGGTTGCATAATGGCTGCTGCAGCAGCTCCAAACACCCCATTCTCTCAGTAGCATCCCAAGCAGGAGTGAAGGGCAGGCACTTTCTTCTCACAGATCTTCTTTTTATCGTGAAACTCCCAGTGGTCTTCCTCTTACATCTCATTAGTCAGTATCAGGTCACATGCCCTCTCCTGGCTGCAAGGGAGTCTGTGAAGCAATCGTATCTGGCAATTCCAGCCTGTTATGGGATGCAGGTTGTGCCACCAGGCAAGAGAAAGAAGGTGGAGTTCTGTGGGGAACTAACCAACAGTGTTTGACACCACAGGCATGACCACACAAAAATGCACATTTCCCTAAAATTTGACTACCCCAGGCACCTGGAGGGCCCCATGTCTGCACCTGCAGGTGATCCTTCCTTGAAAGAGCAACTGGATCTGGGTTTTGGAGAGATCACTTTCTTTCTTTCCTACACCTCAGTGTTCAAGTTAGGAAACTCTAGCTCCTCAAGTGTTACGGGGAAAATGTCTGCAGTTTCCCTTACCACTTTTGAACAGATGTTTTGAGACAGTTATTTCTCTGGAGGCCTTGTCCTGCTGCTCTAATAATCCTCACTAGAGTTTCATGGAATTGGGCCCAAGTGAAGGTATTGGAATTGATGAGGACAATGGAGTCACAAGTCAGGACTTAGCAGAAGCCACAGTGTGTGGTGTCTGATATCTGACATGTTGGAAGAAGAAATTACCAAAACTTTATTAGCCCAGTTCCCAGAGAGGTTTTGTCTGCTGTGGCAGGGAAAATGGTTTAAATCTAGGGCAAATAATTCACATCTAGGATTTATCATCTACTTATTGCTGCCTAACAGCCCTAAAACTTAGTGGCTTTTATCTAGCTCACAGTCATTTATGTAGCTCACAGTTCTGTGTGTTGGCAATGTTGAGTTTAGCTGAGTAGTTCTTCTGGTCTCAGCTGGGCAACTTGCATTCACCTGCCTGTCATCTAGGCAGGTCAGCTTCTGAGGGTTGTGTTGGGTGGCTAGGGTTCCTGGATCATGTGTCCTTCATCCTCTAGCAGGCTAGTGTGGGCTCGTTCACATGGTGCCTGAGCAGGTTTCAAAGAGAGTGAGAAGACACACACAAGGCCCCTTGAGGCCTGGCCTTGGAACTGGCCCAGTGTCACTTCTGCTGAATTCTGTTGGCCAAAGCAAGTCACAGCTCAGATTGGAAGGGAGAGAAAATAGACTGTACTGTTGATGGGAGAAGCTGCAAAGTTACACTGTAAAGGGATCTGGACAGATACAGGGAGGAGTGAAGGACTGTGACCACCCTTGCAATCTGTTATACAGGGTGAGAAAACAGAATTTACACTGTTATAGGTTTGGCTATGTCTGGAAAGTATTTTCATAAATATGTAGTATTTGGCTACAGAAGTTGACAGAACCCCAAAACTATTCACTGCCCATCCTCCTTGTTATAATTAGAAAGAAATACTGAACATTTGGCTATTGTAAAACCAAGAGTTTTTTTCAATGGGGCAGGAGGTGGGTGGTAGGGAGGGAAGGAAGGGATGATATGGGCAGCAGGTATGGGTATGAAATTAGAAAGCTATAAAAAATCTTTCCCTTTGTTCCCTTCAGAATTTTACTGGTGCTACCCATATGTGTTGCCCATGGATTTCCAATTATTTATCCCTTTAAAAATACTGTTTGAATGTTTGAATCTAAAATCTTTTTAGGGGAGCCGGCACAGATGAGAATGTTATAAAAAGCCTTCTCCTCGCCTGACTTTATTTTGACCCCGCTAAAGGACTTCAGGACTCAGGTGGTTTATTGAGTTTTTGGCTGCATGTCAATGAATGTTTCAGAACCACCATACAAGATTCATTCATTCAACAATACCTGTTGAGCTGTGGGCCAAGCATTATGTTAAGATTTCAGGAATCTGATGGTGAGCAAAACAGGCACATAGACCAGTTCCAGCTGTGGCAGGTGTCACAGATGAGAGACCAGCTGCTCCCAGAACAACTTTCCTGAAAAGGGAAGCCAGGGAAGCCTTCTTTTAGGAAGGGAGCCTTGATCTGAGGCCTATAGAATGAATGACGTTAACCAGGCAGAGAAAGGATGGAAGAGTGTTTCCATTAGAAGGAATAGTGTGTGCAAAGGCCCTGTGGTGGGAAAGAGTGTGGCACAGGTCACAGGAATGAAAGGAAGCCCATGGGGCTGGGGAGGGCAGAGCAAAGAACATGACGGGGAGAGAGTCCATCCTGTCTACTTTATCGGCAAGTGCCACGTAGTCCCTCCTTTGCCCACACTTAGACCTAATGGCTACATGCTAGGCAAAGTGTGAACTTTCTGCCCTATAGCTTGTGCTTTGAGACATGATTTCAGCATTCCTGTTTTAGAAAAGCAGCTTTCTGCTGGCTAGAATTAGGGTGCAGGCTGACTCCCCTGTGACACTTGTCTGCCCACCTTATAGTCAGAAGGTCTGGTAACATCGATCTGCATGCCCCAAGGATCTGGATGTGTTGTGATACCGTCTTTATCCTCATTTCTATCTCCACCAGCCCACAAGGTAGCCATTGTACTTAACAACTGTGTCAGCCAGAAAAGCCACTGGGTGACTAGGCCAATTGCTCCATGGCTCTGACATGAGACTGCTACTATATATAATAAAATAGTGATATTTCTTGCTTGTGACTATTGGAAGATTAAACAAAGGTGTTATTATGGTAGCCTATAAAAAGATGTTTTCTGTACCTTTTCCTTGGATACTTCTGAAAGAAACCATTGAGTGTGAAGTGTTAGCTGGTAATACCGTTGAGCTTTATCCGCTGAGGCTGTTTTCTTTAGCATACCTGCACCTTCCTGCTCCTCTCTCTCCGATTGGGCTGGGGTGAGACTCAATGTTTTGTCAGTACAAACATGTAATGCATGCTTTAACTCTTGTTCTGTATGTCACCTCCATTTCCTTGCTGGGAATCAAAACCTTTTGCCTATTCCAGGTTGCAGCCAAATGTTACCAAAAAGGAGGTGCATTTGAGAAGGAGAAGTTGGCCCTGGCCCACAACACTGCCCTGAACATGAAATCTAAGAAAGTCAGCCCAAAGTAAGCATCTTGGGATCATTTCAAGTTTTCTCTAATGAGAGCAGCAGGTTAAATATATTGGTGTTAGGTCAACATTACATGGACATACTATTTTGTTTCCCTTCTCTCAGGGAAAAGCAGTTGGAGTATTTGGAACTGGCTAAGACCTATTTGGAGTGCAGTGAGCCAAAGCTATCCCTGAAGTGTCTGAGCTACGCCAAGGAGTTCCAGCTCTCTGCCCAGCTGTGTGAGAGGCTAGGAAAGGTATGGCCCCGAAGCTTGCAGTTGCTCGTGGGAGAACTGGGCTCCACTTGATCAGATTGAGGGGTGGTCCTCTCAGCCTCTACTTGCAGCAGAAGAAGGCTCTAGTCTTCCAAGGAGGGAGAGGCTGGCCCTGTTTACTCTAGGGTAGTCCTTCTTTCTGTTCTTGTTCAAACATTCAAAAGGCTCTGAAGACTGTGTGTATGGTGCGTGTGTGTATGTATATGTGTATGTCCATGTCTGTGCTAATGTTTGAGGCCTGATATTAACACATTGACTGCCACATTAGAAAAAAAAATTTTTCCCCCTGGGGCCATGGTGTTTTATTATGAAAATAGAATAAAAACTTCAAAAACAAAACAATACCTTCTAACTTAATGAAAAATTTGTTATTTTTTGTTGTTTTCTGTGTGTGAGTTATATGCAACTTATGTGGCACTGGAGTCAGTTTTTACACTGCCTGCCAATTGAATTGTATGTGACTCACGACATACTTATTGAATTCGTTTTGAGGAATTGAATCTTCATGTGCTTCACGAGGCCCTAGATTCAAAACTAGCCTCAGTTAAATACAACTCACATGGCATTTACTGAGTTAACCACAGAAGCCAAATGTTTCTAAAGGGCAGATGGGTTTTAGAGTATTTCTGCCTTTTCTCTGTGTTCACAGTCTAGAGTTGGCTTGGGTGAGTGGCCTGGCATTTGCATGGAGTTATTTTTATGTTCCCAGGACATACTCTAGATCTACTGTCCAATTTACCAGCCACATGTGGCTATTTAAATTTTATTTATTTATTTATTTATTTATTTTTTTATTCCATAAAGCATTAAGATATTTTAATGAGAAAACAAAAACAAATCTTAATCTCATGTTTCTATCCAAAGACATTCAAAACTAGTTTTTCCCTGCCCATCCCTGCTAACTGCAACTTTGTGACCATGTAATAAAGGCCAGTTTAAAGATTTTTTTTTTAAAGTTTAAACCTTTTTAAAAAAGATTAAACAATCAGGCTAGCAAAAAGGTACTCAATACATACTTTCCTTATATCAAACAAGCTAACTATACAGAATATATACAATACACATATGTTCATGAAGTTCTGACAGTGTATACATTTTTAGGAAATAAAACAAAACAAAATCCAAAATCATTTTTGTTATTGTCTAAAGTCAGACATGCCAAGTAACTTAGTTATGGCCACTGTCACTAAGTAAAGCCATACTTGAATGAAATGATGACTGGATACAAAGCTGGTAAACTGGGGACTGGCACAGTTAAGAGCTATACTGTTCTAGGAGAGGGGTAGAAGACATAAAAACACCCATCTACACAATTTAATGCACATTTTCTCTCTAGCATTACCCTCCCTCGAGGGTTTCACAAAATACCAGTGCCCAAAAAGAATCATAATGCCATAACTGTTAAAAAAGTTCCCCCCAGAATTCCTTTCTGCTGGGCTATAGGCAAATATTAAAGCATGCATCAGCTAAACAAAGCAGTCACCCATCTGGAAGACCTTGGTGCAGTTTTCTCCTAGGCTGGTTGCACTAGAAAGTACTCCAGTTTTTAAATGGAGCCAGATTTATGTTAGCTCTGTAAAATGTTGAGCTACTATAGCAGCAAATATGAAATTACAGAAACAAAAATATAATTTTAAAAATTCATTTATTACATCAAAACCTTTTCCTTTCAAATGTCTCCCTAACCAGACATCAATTTCTTCTTTCACTGAATTCTGATCTATTATTACTCAATCCAACTTTCTCATTATGCTGCTCTGGAAAAAGATACTTCCTAGTCCTGGAAAAGTTTAAATTTACTCTTAAAAATGGAAATACAGGAATTTTTTAAAGTAAAAAAAAAGTCTGTTTTAAAAGTATCTTTCACAAATATACGTATTTAAATATTAAAATAGGCTACCTAGGATTTTTATAAAATGGCTTTTGAAAAGATAGTAGAGGCAGAAAGAAGCCATATACTACCCTCCAAATTACACATAAGGTGCCACAAGGGTGCCCTACAAAGAGGCAGACAATCTCTGATGTAGCAAGAGGCACCAGTAACAACAGAAAAGTTAAATATATTATTGGAAACTTGGATTAAAACCAAATTTTACTCTATTAGGGACTGTTGCTTTTTAAAAAAATACCTTGAAATATAAGTATTAGAAGCCATCACTTTATACAAGCAAGAAAATGAATAAAGTTTATGATCTTACTCCTTCCAAATACCTGATGTCATTCATTTCAGGTACCTGAAAAGATGAAAAGCAGTGCAATTTTCAAGAATTTAATGGATTACCCTCAGTATGAGAGACTTTACATAGCATCTGTCAACTTGAAAACTAAATTGATAACTGAAATAAAAAGAAATCTAGAGAAACGTCTTCAGTCTCACTAGCCACATCACAAGTGCTCATTGTTATGGAACATTTCCATCATTGCAGGAAGCTCTGTGGGACAGAGCTGCTAGTCTGAGGCATAGCTACTCACAGAGTGGTCAGTAGGCTGGCAGCAGGCCACATACTGTTGTTACTTGTCTGCCACAAGGTAAACACAGAAGATGAAAGTAAGCCGTTAGAAATTTTTATAGCCATTTGGCATTGCCATGACATCAAAGTGGTGATCATTTTCTTATACATTCAGTTTTAATGTATCATTATGATGGATTGGAAATTTAAAACAGTCTGGTCCTTCACCACAGGTGATTGGCGAGGCTGTACTTAAGCGGCAGCCTGTGGCATTTTCCCCATATCGGGTTTTATGATCCTCCAGTAAGAAGGCGGGTTTCTCCCTGGGCATTATGAGGGTTGGGAGTGGGGTCTATTAGGAAATTTGAAGTGTGACCCCAAGTCAGTGTCAAAGAAGATAAGGCCCTCCTGATGTTGCCTGCCCTGCTCCATATTTATTATGGGATGTGATTGTTAGGATGTGGGAGATGGGATGGAATAGGATACTGGAGAAGACATTTCAGTAAGGGTGGGAGTTTGTGTCCTAGATTTCAGGAAGTTGAATAGTTCCTAACCTTTCCAAATTCCCTACCTTCCACCTTCCAGCCTTCAGTGCCACTACCCTGGATCTTAAGCAGTGACTATAGGGGGTAGGGCTATAACTATCATTTTCTTTTTTGGCTACCAGTGCCTGCCATAACTGAGCCAAAGACCCCTTTTTTATTTCTTTACATACCCTACCCCACTAGACTGCCATGCTCTGCCTCTGAAAGTGTGAGTGGGGGGAGAACAGGAGACCATAAGTACAACCCATGCTCCCTTCTCCAGGACTTCAGCACCTTCAGGTTGTGGAGGCCCTTCTCCTGTAGGCACAGCTTTCCCCTTTCCTTCTACTGCCACAGGCTCAGTCTCTAGATATTTCTCCTACCTTCTCTCATCAGTACCTCTTAGCTCTAAACCCCATGAAGGGAAGAGTCTGGTCCCTTTCTTTGCTCAGGCCCGTCCCTGGAAGGGTGTTCAACCCTCTCAACCAGTGGCAGACTTCTTGTGGTCATCTCATCCAAATTGATTGGCAAGATGCAAATTGATCAGCTTGGCAGCAGCCTTCTCCTAAATACTGAAGCCAAATCACCTCTGCATTCCCAGTTCTCAAATGTGTTCTATCCCTGAAAGAAATGTTTGTGCAGGTTCTATGGGAACCTGTAAGATTTCCCTGCCAGGAATCCTGTGCCTCGCCTGCTTCCTGCCACTCTCCATAGAGCAGCACTGGTTTTCCTAGAAGCCATTCCAGGCCCTTGCTCTAGATGGCAGGTGGGGCCTCCTCCCAGAGCAGAGTAGGCCAGAGTGGGTAGTTGCTCTTAGAGCCAGCCCTTTCTTCTTTCCCTCCAATTGGGCAGACATTTGGCACCTACTGGGGCCTTCATTCATGCACATGGATTTTTCTTCTGAGTAATCAGCATTGTCAAGGAGAGAAAAAAAGATGGGGTGGTTAGATGTACTGGTTATGGGGTTTTATTGATGTGCCTGAGATTGGTCTAGGAGCTCCTATATCTATGAGATCTCTGGACTTAGAAGAAATCTTGCTTTTTATTTTACTGATTCATGCAGTTTGTCTCATTAAATGTCACCCAGCTAAGATTTTTTAGAGAGCCTGGCACATATATTTTGTTTTGTCTTTGGACCTCAGGTGCAGCAAGTAGAGTTAAGAGACTAAATATTCAACAAATAGGCAGAACCCCTGCTGCATACCAGGCACTGTGGGTGCTAGATGACCAGTAGACAACAAAGTGGAGGCCTCTGCCTTTGGAGAGCTTGCCTTTCTAGTGTGGGAGAGAGACACATGGATCGGTAAATAGTGTCTCAGATGTCAGGGGTCCTGAGGGCTACAAAGAATACTAGAACTTGGTAAGGAGGAGAATGTGTTAGGGTTGTTATTTTCGACTGGGGGAGTGAGGGGATGTGTCAAAGAGCTGACTTTTGAGCAGAAATTATGAGAATGGCTGGTGGAAGGCATCACAGACCAAGAACCTCACAGGCAAAAGCCCCAACGTGGGAGCATTTTGGCGAATTTGAAGAACAGCAAGGAAGACAGTCTGGCCAGAGCAAAGTGAGGAAGAAATGGTCAAATGAGCAAGAGTGGCTGGCAGGGACAGGTCAGTAGGGCCTTGTCGGCTGTGGTGAGGAGTGGGTTTTGTTCAGGTGTGATGGGGAGCCAGTGGAAGGTTTTGACTGGAGGAATAACATGAAGTTCATTATTGGCATGCTCTGTGGAGAGGGTGGTAGGGCAGTAAGAGTAGAAAGCACAAAGGCCGGTTAGGAGAGTCTAGCAGCAGCATAGGCTGAGATGATGGGGCGTGATCTGCCACGAAAGTGGTGGAGGCGGTGGGATATGGGCGCATCTGGGCAATGTTGGGGAAGCTAAGCAGACAGAATCAGCTGATGGGCTGGATGGGAAGTGTGAGAGGAAGAGAAGTTGAATATACTCTTCTGTTCACAGCAAACCCATCATTGGTGGGTATAGGGCCCACTCATTGTGTTTTATTTTCTTCATCCTGTTCTTCACAGCTAGTCTCCATTCCCATTCTCTTTTCATTGGCAGCCATTCTAATACATTTAATATATGTCCTCCAATTGCATTGTTGAAGAGTAAATAGTTATATCTTCTATACATATGTACTTTAAGCTTATCTAAATGGCATCTTGTTCTCTTTTTCACTTTTTCCTCCTCCCGCTATGGTGTTAAGGTCTGGCCACGTTTCTGAGTGCTGTGTATTCCAGAGTGGGTGTCCACTGCATAGACTTTTCCATTTCTCTAGTGATGAATGTCCAGGCTGCTGCCGCCTCCCGGCTGCCATACACAGCACCATGGCACAGCACGTCATCTTATAGTCCTGTGCAAGACTTTTTCAAGGTGTATTGCCAGGAGTGGGCTTGCCGGCTCTAGGATATGCATATACTTCATTTCACTAAGGATGGCCACTTTGCTTTCCAGAATGGCTGTACTACTTTGTGCACAAGGGTTCTGTGATTTCTACATTCCTGACCATGTTCAGTGGATTCTGATTTTCCAATTTTTGAAAACCTGGTAGATGTATCTTACTGTAGTTTTAACTTGCATTCCTATGATTATTAGTGAGGTTGAGAATCTTCATTTATTTGTTGATTGGTCAAGTTTCCCCCCTGCAAACTGCCAGTTTATATCTTTTGCCTAGTGTTCTGTTGTGCTTCCAGGAAAGTGTTTTTCTTGTGGTTGCAGGAATCCTTCTTATGTTTAGACTTGCCCACTCCAGTGTGGTGGCCACTAGCTACTTGTGACTCGTTAACTTTAAATTAATTAAAATTAAATGAAATTAAAAATCTAGTTCAAGGGCTCAATCGTCAGATGTGGCTAGTTACTAGTAGATTGTTTGGCAGAGATATAGAACATTTCCATCTTCACAGAAAGTTCTCTTGGACAGTGCTGATCTAGATGTTAATATGTGTCTTCTATTAACATTATCTCATGTGCCCTTTGTTTGAACAATTTTGATATAATCAAATCTACCAGTTTTTCTCCTGAAATTTGTGTGTTTTGGGTTTCTTTGAAGATATTATTTGTTTTTTTTTAAAATACAAAATATGTGTGTGTTTATTTTATTTTATTTTGGGGGGGGCTGTGGGTTTTTTTATTTCAGCATATTATGGGAGTACAAATGTTAAGGTTACGTATGTTGCCCATGCCCTCCCTCCCCCCTCAAGTCAGAGCTTCAAGCATGACCATCCCCCAAACGTTGCACATCTCACTTATTGTGTTTGTATATACCCATTCCCTCCTCCCCCCTTCCACCCTCCCCACACCCGATAAACATTTTCCCTATATGTCCACTTAGGTGTTGATCCATTAATACCAATTTGCTGGTGAGTACATGTGGTGCTTATTTTTTCATTCTTGAGATACTTCACTTAGTAGAATGGGTTCTAGCTCTAGCCAAGAAAATACAAGAGGTGCTATATCACCATTGTTTCTTAAAGCTGAATAGTACTCCATGGTATACATATACCACATTTTATTAATCTACTCATGAATTGATGGGCACTTGGGTTGTTTCCACAACTTTGCAATTGTGAATTGTGCTGCTATAAACATTCAAGTGTAGGTATCTTTTTCATAAAGTGACTTTTGATCTTTTGGGTAGATGCACAGTAGTGGAATTGCTGGATCAAATGGTAGATCTACTTGTATCGCTTTAAGGTATCTCCATATTGCTTTCCACAGAGGTTGCACTAGTTTGCAGTCCCACCAGCAGTATAGGAGTGTTCTTACCTCTCTGCATCCACACCAACATTTATTGTTTGGGGACTTTTTGATAAAGGCCATTCTCACTGGAGTTAAGTGATATCTCATTGTGGTTTTGATTTGCATTTCCCTAATGATTAGAGATGTTGAGCATTTTTTCATATGTTTGTTGGCCATTATTCTGTCCTCTTTTGAGAAGTTTCTGTTCATGTCCTGGTTGTTTATTTTTTTCTTGTTGATTTTCCTGAGTTCTAAATAGATTCTAGTTATCAGCCCTTTATCAGATGTGTAGCTTGCAAAAATTTTCTCCCATTCTGTGGGTTTCTGTTTGCTCTCTTGACAGTTTCTTTGGCTGTGCAGAAGCTTTTTAATTTGATCAGATCCCATTCATTTATTTTTGTTGCTGCTGTGATTGCCTTTGGGGTTTTCTTCATAAATTCTTTGGCTAGGCCAATGTCTAAAAGAATATTTCCAATGTTTTCCTCTAGAATTCTAATAATTTCACACCTAATGTTCAAGTCTGTTACCCAGCGTGAGTTGATTTTTGTTAGAGGTGAAAGGTGCGGGTCCTTTTTCAGTGTTCTACATGTGCCTATGAAGATATTATTTGTCAAAGGAGTTAAGTGAAGACTCCTTCCATTTACGTGTGACCTCAAGGTCACAAAGATAATCCTCATACATTTTCCCTTAATGGTTGTCACACTTAGATCTTTAATTCACCTAGGGCTTACCTATGTGTATGGTGTGAGGTTGAGATTTAACCTTATTTTTCTGTCTCTAAGTTTGTTTTCATAATATTATCTATGTTTTAGGGGTTTTAACTGGATTCTAATAAATAGCAGACATACAACCATTTCTTGATTATATGTGATATTTTTAAGACTAGAAAGTTATGTTATGAATACTCTAAAAGTAATTTTTTACTCTGTCCTAGATAAGAGATGCTGCGTATTTCTATAAGCGAAGCCAGTGCTACAAAGATGCTTTCAGATGCTTTGAGCAGATTCAGGAATTTGATCTAGCACTCAAAATGTGCTGCCAAGAGGAGCTTTTTGAAGAAGCTGCTATTGCAGTGGAAAAGTAGGTGGTTTTATTCTCTCCCTTCTCCCTCCATTTCTTCTCCTCCCTGGGGGCAGCTTGCCCTGGGTGGTGGTACCCTGACATTTCCGAAGTGGAATGATCATGTTGCCCTCCTTCTGCTTGAGTGGTGGCCTTGGTGCTAGGCCTTGAGAGCAAGACTGTGTTTTCCACTCTCTTTATAAGCTTTGACAGAGTGTCATGAGGAGAGGGGGCCGAAGAAGATGAGGGTGTGTGTTACGTGTGTGTATATAACAGGATATACTGATTTCTATCAGCAGAATGAAAGGAGGCCCTTCAGAGTTTCATTAATCTCACACAAATCCAACCACATGCACCCCTGGCAAAAGAGAAGAATCATAAGTTAGATAATAAGGGGGAGACTAATGTAGCTACTGATGTGCATACAGCCCCCATTTCATTCTTTCTCATTAATCACATCAAATTGAACAGAGTTGTATACCCCAAATGATTATCATGGTTTTGTGAGAGCTGAAGGGAGTATTTTCAAGGGTAATTTTGACTATGCATAAATTTTGCCTTATAGATTGACCTTCTAAGTTAACTCCCACTTACTTGAGTTGCACCTCTGCTATATTTCATTAAAGCACATTAATGCCTGACTGAAGAATAAAAATTTATTATTCATTATTATTATACTGATAACAGTGTAAAATGAAGCATTTATAAAAATGCTTGAATGCTTGACAAGTTTTAGTCTTATTTTGTAATATCTACACTTGGGAATTTTATTTAAGTTGCTCTGTGATGTATCTTGGAGGAAATTTTCTGCTGGTTGAGTGACAGTAAGTTGACATGCCCTCTGTCTTTGCAGGTATGAAGAAATACTAAGGACCAAGACCCTTCCCATTTCCAAGCTCTCCTATTCTGCCAGTCAGTTTTACTTGGAAGCCGCAGCAAAGTACCTTAGTGCAAATAAGATCAAGGAAATGATGGCTGTCCTCTCGAAGCTAGATATAGAGGACCAGTTGGTGTTCCTGAAGTCTCGGAAATGCGTAGCAGAAGCTGCAGACTTGCTGAACAGGGAAGGTCGGAGAGAAGAGGCTGCTCTGTTGATGAAGCAACACGGCTGCCTCCTGGAGGCTGCCAGGCTTACTACGGACAAGGACTTCCAGGCCTCGTGTCTGCTGGGGGCTGCCCGCCTTAATGTGGCCAGGGATTCTGATGTGGAACATACCAAGGCCATTCTGAGAGAAGCACTTGACCTTTGCTATCAAACCAGCCAGTTGTCCGGCATCGCCGAGGCCCAATTCCTGCAAGGGGTAATTCTGAGAGACTTTCAGAAGCTCAAGGATGCCTTTTTCAAGTTTGACACACTCAACCACTCAGCTGGAGTGGTGGAAGCGCTCTATGAAGCAGCCAGCCAGTGTGAGGTCGAGCCTGAGAAGGTTCTGGCCCTGGCTCCAGAGGGCTTGGAAGTCCTCCTCAATCTAGTCAGGGCCCTCAAAAGAGTGACTAACAATGCTGAGAAGGAAATGGTCAAATCTTGCTTTGAGTTTTTTGGGATTTCCCAGGTGGATGCCAAATATTGCCAGATTGCTCAAAATGACCCTGGGCCTATATTAAGAATAATTGTTGACCTGGATTTAAACTTGAGAGAGAAGAAGACAAAAGACCATTACTTGATAATGACTGACCAGGTGAAATTAGCCTTAAACAAACACCTTTTGAGCAGGATGTGTCAGATTACACAGAGCTTGCTTGGGAAGACCTACCCACGGGTCTGCACGAGGTTTCTTGTAGGCTTAAAATGTGAGGAGGAAAACTGCGATGCTTTTCACAGGCCTCTGCGGCGTTGTGAGGCCAAGTGTATGGTTCAGTCGAAAATGTACCTAGTGGCAATTATCGGATTGCTTCTGGAAGCCAAAAAAGTATTCCCTAAAATTTTAGCTGAAGAACTTGAAGAAATTGATTATATTTTATCTACAGATATGTATGGACCTTGCAAATCCTTACTGAATGTCCTCTTCCCTAAGCATTTCCATCAGAGAGTGTTGTCAGAAAACCCCATGGCATGCAAAGAAATCCTCAAACCACATTACAAATCCTTCCGATCCTACAGGTTTGCTTTGAAAGAATACATCTACTTTCTGTTTCAAAATGAAAAGGCACGCAGCCGCCGGGAATCCACAGACCTGTGGCTTAGTGCCATGCAAGCTTTCCTTCTGTCCTCCAACTATCCGGAGGAGTTTGAAAAGCTGCTCCACCAGGAGGAGGACAACTACAATAGGGAGCTCAAAGCTCTAGAGTCTGAAAAAGAGGACAGGGGCAGGGGGAGAGGTAGCAGGATTAAAGGAATAGAAGGTAAATTTGGCATGCTGGCACCCAATAAGGATGATGAAAGTACAGAGAAGACCCACTTGTGTTTCTTCCGGCTGCTGGAGAATTGCATTGACCAGTTCTATGTGTATAGAAACCCAGAAGACTACAAAAGGCTCTTTTTCCGTTTTATGAATGTCCTCGTCAAGAGGTGCAAAGACCCACTCATCCCCAGCATTGGAAACACAGTGGCTGTGTTGGAGTTCCAGTTTGTCCACTGCGGGGTGGTGCTGGCCCGTCTCTGGAAGAATGCCATCCTGTGCCTCCCCAAGAGCTACATTGCGCTCTTGCACTACTGGGAGTTCCTGTTTAGCAGGAAAGACAAAGAGTTTGGGGACGTGTTCTCCATAATTCAGGAATACAAACCGAAGGATGTGACAAGAGCCATTCAGGATTTCCGGTTCCACCTCTCCTATCTTGTCAAGGTGCTATGTGGCTATGAGAATGTGCACTTCAACGTTCTGCTTGATGCCTTCAGTGAAATCAACTGTGTGGTCTCAGGCGAGGCAGAGCGGACACTGGTGCTGTGCTTGGTGATGCTAGTGAATGCTGAGGAGGTCCTGCAGCCATCCTGCAAGCCTCTCCTGTACCGCCACTTCCAGGAGATCGAGACGAGGCTACAGCTCATGAGCATGGACTGCCCAGACCAGGTTCCCGAGAGGCTCCTAAAGGTGGTGAGGCGGGTGTTGATGGCGGTCACTGTGAAGTCTGTGGCTGAGGCACTGCAGGACCTGCTCTTTGAGCGGGATGAAGAGTACCTGATGGACTGCCACTGGCGGTGGGACAGTGTGCAAACCAAAGGATCCATGTTCCGCGGCCTCTATCATGAGGAGGTCAGACTGAATCGCTTGCTCTGTATGGACCCTGTGGACTACTTAGCTGAACCTGAGTGTGACTTTGGTGAGGATGAGACAGATGAGCTGGCATTAGAAGACCGAGACTACCTCCTGGCCGCCATCTTTTCTCAAAAGCAGCGGAAGGCCTCCATACAGCGAAAGTTGAGGAGGGCGTGTCTGGTGGTGTCTCTGTGCATTAGCTGGAGGAGAAGGGTGGGCACCCAGGCAGAACACATCAGGGAGGCCAGGGAGCCTGGGGCTGGGAATTTCAAAAGGGCTGATGTGGACAGGACTCAGTGTGACCTCTGTGGGGTAAAGTTCATCCGCAGCCCTGAGAACTATTTCAGCCCCAGCAAAGCATTTGAGGGAGTGGCTTCAGAGGCTGTGATCCTTTCCAGGGCTGAGCTGGAAGAGAAGGAGTGTCGGGAGAGGAACAGCGAATCTTACGAGCAGCACATCCACCTAGAAGGCCACCAGAGGCAGCAAGTGGCCTACCAGAAATATTCAGAATTTTTCCTTGAGAAGGTAGACCCAGCCATTGATGAAGGCAAGCTGGTGGTGCAGGACATCGAGCAGAGCGTGTGGATCCACAGTCACCTGGGCTCTAAAGAGCACAGCCACATGCTGCAGAGGAAGGTCCAGGAGAATATCAAAAGGGTCTCAGATATGGTGGAGGACCTCTACAGACGGAAGGCCTGGGCTGGTGGTAAGGGCCTGTAGAGATGGGGCCCAGAAGGGGTTAGACCAGGTTCTGAGAATGCTTGTCAGAGTTAAATCCTTTGTAGTGACTTCTGACTTGGGGATGATGGAATCTTGGCATTAGCAGAATATAAGTGAGGAATGTACATTCTCAAATTACAGCAAAACCTCATTGTTTGGACCACCCTCCCCCAATTATAAGGTTGTGATTATCTTTGGCCAAGATAAGTTTTCCCGGGTGCTACAGATGAGAAAATTGCTAATTTCTATGGAGAGGATCTAAGAAGAAGCTACTTCTTAGCAACATTGAGTACAAGTTATATGTAAACTCAGTAAAACTGCATATTTTAAAACATTCTATAATTCAGACACTCTTTCCAGGGTAAGGTTTAATGACTTTTGAATACAAGTATCCTGAAATGTTTGCAGTTGTCAGTCTCTGTAGATACACAGTAATGGTGTCAAGCTAGCCTTTAATTGTAGTTTATTGTGGTGGCAGAAGGCAGCTTGTGGTGCCTTCCCTGTAAGGAGAGCTCTCCTCAGGAAAAGCACAAACAGAGACCAGCTTTTGGAGCTTGGGGGCTTTGGCTCTAGTACTTGGTGTTCTAGTCCCTGTGATGATCTCTTCACTCAGAGCCCGTTCTTTGGTTTCTGTAGCGGAGGAGGCAATGACTCGGCTGGTCAACATTCTGATCCTGTCAGTCAGGCGTGCACGAGAGTGGTTGATGAAAACAGAGCTCTGCTTAAAGGAGGAAGGTAAGGAGTCCTAAATTCCAGGGACAGGTAACACTTTGGGTCCTGTGGTTCTTAATACTGCTGGCTCTGAGGTGAATCTAAAGTGGGGTTGCCCAGTGATGTCAGTAGTGGCTTCTCACTGTTTAGGATCATCACCCCATTGAGTCAAATTATTGGCAACATTAATATCTGAGCTTTCCTATCTGACTGTGAGAGCTATTATACCAGGCTCATGTTAGTTGCTAAAAACCTCTTGCTGTTCATGAACTGTTATTGATGATGTTTAGTCACTGCATATATTCCATGCAGGGACTCCCAAGGATGGGAAAAGTATTGTAAAGCCATCTTTTGATAAATATATTTTCCTGTGTCAATCAGTTACTTAAGTCAATGGATGTTTATTGAGTGTCTAGTATGTATTGATGCTGTTCTAGGCCTGGGGATACACTCTTTGAACAAAACAAACAAAATCATTAGGGAAACTTGCACACATCTTCCTACAGAGGGTTAAAAGCTTGTGTAGAGTGAATAAGGTTTCTTTTCTTGCAGTCAGAATTATCTCGCCAAGTTCTGTGTGATCAGGAATGTCTTCCCTCTTTTCCATTCCAACTACTGCCCCCTCCTGGCTGGACCACATTTCTTTTTGCTCCAAGTATTTCACTAACCCTGGAAGTCCCTGGAAAATCCAGACCCCAGAGTTAGGGAAATCTTGAAGGGACTTCGCACAAATGTCTGTGCCAATAAATAATATTTAGCATATAGTCCCTTCTGGGAACTATGGTTTTGTGCTTATAGAGGAAGATAATTGGTATACCAACTCAAGTTTATGGTTGACTTTAGGTTTTGCTTGATTTCTTTGTGTTTTAAAGGGCCTCTAAAATAAGGCCAGAGGAACCGGCCTATAAAAGAGTTTAATTCTGGGGAAGGGTGTTTGCTCTGGCTCTTCTTGAGAAGCAACATCAGTACTCAAAGGAAAATACTCTTTCTCCGGCACCCTTATTACAGACACATTAGATTTTACTAGAAAGTTATATTTTATAGTGGAGTGGTTAAAAACAACAACAACAAAATCACCATTCTGCACTTTGTTTCTGTTTTTTGCTTTTTAAACAGGTGTCGTTCAGGAAGATGATTATGAAAATGAAGTTGAAGACTTTGGTGAGCTCCGTCCTAGGAGGCGTTCACGGAAATGTGGAAAGCAGAGAAAATACTAACATCCACATCCACACAGCTGCTGCCTCCTCAACCTTTAGAACATTCCATCCTGACTTAGAATTCTGAGTGCAGGGGGGCCCAAGGGTAAAAGAATGTGAATTAGCATTACAGAAATGAGTAGGGGAGTCTGCTAAGGCCTTTGCTTTTTGTTCTTGTTATTTGTCTTTCAGTGGTCGCTTAGGGTCTGATTACTCCCTCATCTGCAGGAACCTCTTAAGTGTTTCCCAAGTAAAGTCTAACAGTATTAGTTCCTCCTGCGAAATGTGTAGATTAGAGGAGTTGTAGTTGAAGGAAACATTGGGACTTCTCCTTTCAAAGTCCCCAGGCTTTCTGGCTCATCCTTATCCTGATATGAGTCAATAGCAGGGGACTAGGCATTTAAGACAGACTCCTCTCACCTCAGAGTTGCCGCTGCTCTGGACCAGAAAATCCCTCTATGGACCCCTCATCTCCTGTCACCCTACTGCAACATTAAGCAGTACAAGAGCTGTGTGGGCCCTACCACCAGCCACCGTGAGACCAGGCCGCATTCAGTTATCTCTGGTTATGTCTACATTTGTAGTGTAGTTTCTTCCATTATAAATGTTAGCCGTTCCTCTCTGTGGCAACTTTTCTGCCCTTCCTTCCTCCGTTTCTTGTGACCATTCTCAGCTGCCTGTGCAAGTCACGTTTAGACTACCTCAGAATGTAGTCAAGAATTCGCCCAGAGGTGAAAGGCTGGGGAATGTTGCTGGGGGCATTCCCGGCTCACCTCTCCAAGGTGGTCTTAACTCTGCCTTGGTTGTGGTTCAGACATTCTGAAAAGTGTTTTTTATGCAGCCCTATATATCTAGTTTTCTTGGTTTTCCCTGGCATGTTTGCCACTCTAGCTTAGGTTGACATTCTGATGAGTTTCTCCCCGCTTAGCTCACCATGGTAGGACCATGACCTGCAGAGCCGCAGGTCAGTTAAGAGCAAGTGGACAGAGGAGGAAGCCAGCCCTACAGTGCCAATCCGTGCGGATTTGGCTGTGAATCACTGCCACTTGGCTGGTCAACCCTGTGAGAGGGCAGGGTGTAGGCCTTTCTGTAGGAGGCCATTGCTTCCCCCCTCCATCCACTGAGCCAGCAGCCCTCAGTGTGGTCCCACTTGGGAAGCCTTCTTGCCTCTCTGAGGGTCACTGCCCACCCTTACCCCACCTCTCTGCTCAGCCTGGTGTGGAAAGGTCAGGTTCACACTGGTCTTTGATTTGTCTTCACAACAGAACCAACTTTTCCCCCGTGTTGCTGCTGCTTTTGCTGCTGATTGTTTTATCTTCATTGTCTTTCTAAATGCCTCTGCTCTCTTGAAATGTTTGTTTCTAATTTTTATTAGGTTATGTTTCTAAGTTTTATTCCAGGTGTTTTTTATAAACTTGACAGAACAAAAAAGAAGATCCCAATCAAATCTTGCTGTATTATTGCATTTTTATAAAGTTAAATCATTTCTCTTACCTGCTGCTATCGTTTTGTTTATTTTCAATCTCTACTCAGAGTAAAGGGGTAAATCATAGAGCTGGTTCCTTCTAGTCAGCCGGTTGATGCTGGCCAGGACAGAAGCTTATTGGTTGGGGACAGAGAAATAAAACTCAGTCCAGGGACTCACAACTGGTTGAAGTGTTCTTGAGGGCCTGCCTTGTGCATATTCTCTCCAATTAGGATGCTCCTGAGCATGCAGGGTTTGGACTATAAGGAGTTTTTTCCATTCCATGTACCAGGCCTTTCCCCTAAGAAGGAATGTTTCCCTGAGAGGCAGGAGACCTGGAATTGAATCCCTCCCCAGCCCCTAGTGAGCCGTGGAAGCTGGATGAGTCAGAGCTGTTCAATGCTGATGGCCTGAGTGCGGCACCACCTTCAGGAGCCTCATGATCTGGTGTAAGAGAGAGAAGGAAATGTGAGAAAGCAGTGGTGATAGAAATGTGCATTGAATGGGTAATAGCAGCATTTACATAACCTAGCTGGGCCTCAGTTTCCCCTTTTGGGAAATTGATCTGAGATCCCTTCCTGCCTGATACAGAGTGGTTCTGTAAACTGTTGCCATGGGTTTAAATACCCTCAGGTCTTGGTGCTGTGATGTCAGTGTTTGCTTGTGTCAGGTGAGCAGGGCAGCTGAGTCTTAGCTAGCATAGCATCTGCTCCTATGCTTTAAGATTAAAGAGGCTCAGAACTGGAACAGATGATCCTGCTGCCTTCTAGATCAGCACTGTCCAATAGCACTGCCTGAGAGGTGACCTGCAAGAATCCATCTCCTCAACTTTTAAGGCTCCTCAGAGTGTGGGTGTGGAGGTTGGGATAGGAGAAAGGAAAGCAACAGAAGGATCAATAATTTCCATTAATGACCTGAATCCTAGACTCCAGTTGCAGGGACTTTGGTGTCCTGGTCTGGAAGTCCAGGAAGGGGGTGTGTGTCAGGGATCCCCCAAACTACTCTCAGGTTTGGTAACTCACTAAGAGAGCTCATAGGTCTCAGCATGTAGTTGTAATCATGACTCTGATTTATCATAGCAAAATCATACCAAGTACAATTGGCAAAGAGAAAGGTGCATGGGACCAAGTCTGGGGGATACCCAAGTGTAAGCTTCCGAGTGTCCTTTTCGTAGTCATACGGGACAGGATTAATTCCTCAGCAGCGAGTTGTGACAACTTGCTATGTAAAATATTGCCAATCAGGGAAGCTCACCAGAGACCAAGAGCTCAGGATTTCCTGGGGGCTGGTCATATAGGTATCTTCTACCTAGCATATGTCAAAGTCCCAGAGTCTCGGAAGGAAAGTAGTGTTCAGCATAAACCACGTTGTTTATAAAAACAATTTAGGCATTGGGGGCCACTCCTGTCAGTCCTGGGAGTAGTGGGAACCCTCTTGAATCTAAGTTCCAGATGCCAGCCAAAGGCCAACCTTATGAGCAGGCCTGGCAGCTGTCAGGCCTGGTGTGCTATCTTCCTCTTTGTCATGATCACCCTACTAGCTTGTCCTACTGGCACTCCTGTGTGTCCAGTTGCCAGATAAGCACATACGCACCTACTGTGCATCTCCCCAAAGGAGGGAATTTTCAGGGATGGTTCATCTTCTAAAAACCCATCATGAAGAAGAAACCCTTTCCTAACAGTTTCTTAGAAAGAAACCGTTTTCTTAGAAAACAGCAGTTTTCTAAACTGCATTAGACATTGGCTCCACTTCCATTGTTAACCATTCAGAATGCTGTTTGGTTTCCTTGAGGCCTGCTAGGGAGAGGAAGAGGGTCTTATGCCTCTGGTGGCTGTTCCCTCCCCTCTTCCCACCAACACACACACTCCAGCCTAACCATTCTTAGCCAAGAGCCCTTGTTCTCCCAAACACTCTCTGGGACAGGAGTCTAGTCTTCCAATGACTGAAGGCAGGACAAAAGCTGATTTGGGGGCTAACAGTATCCCGAGCTTTGCATCTCAGTACCTTAGCAAAATCACTGGTGGGGAAACTGAGGCCCAGATTATACAAGTCACCCTGGGTCATAGAGCCATTTTGGGGTAAGACTAAGACTTGGACCTGGGTTTTCTGATGCCAGCCAGCAGTCTTTCCACAAGGTCTCAGGTACCAAGGTCAACAGCAAGTGCCAGCAATTCTTTCTTGGAGCCCATCACTCCTGCACAATGTCAGTGCACAGAGTGTGCTAGCCCTTGGGCATTTAAAGAGCTCATTTCCTTCAATCTCTCACTTGTCTTTTGGCAACAGTGTTTTATTACAGGAAAGTGGAATGCCCCACAAGGAAACTTATGTGTTTTCTATTGTCACCCACTTGGAACAGCCTGGCCTCTGGCCCTCAAGGACAGGACAAAGCAGCTGCGCAAGGTCATTCCCAGTGGATAGCACAGCACAGCACAGCACAGCACAGCACAGCACAGCACAGCATAGCACTGCTCCCAAAGCTGCCAGCTTTACTCTGTCTTCAGCACCCTCACCTTCACCACCCTGATTATTGTAGTTCACATGCAGGAATCCCATCTCTTTTTCCTCCAGCCCCAAATCTAGGGCTGAACTTACTAAAATTTACCTTTTCCTAGCCAGCCTGCCTCAGCTTCCCTGGAGTTTTCACTTGCAGTTCAAAATGAGCCCCAGGTTTGCTGGGCACCCTGGCTAGCACTGACCTCAGCAAGAGCACCTGCTCATAGAACTCTGTGTGTCTTACATCTTACATTACACTTGCTCTCAGATGATGTGGAAAGGGGGAATATTAAGGCTGATAGGTCTTGACTGTCACCAAGTCTCCCACTGGTGGCCAGAGTGCAGCAGCTACTAATTTCCTGCCCATGGAGCAGGCTCTTCTGGGCTCCTCCCAAGGGGCAGAGTCCAGCGCTGTCAGGCGGGTACATGGCGTGTGGAGATGTGAGAGGCATGAGGCCAGGAGACGGACAAGGCTTGCACCTCACTCTGAAGCTCTCAGAAATGGCCCTTTAGGCTTGGACAGGGGACCAGTCCTGTGGCCCAGGAAAATGACAAAGGCTATGAACACTCAACCTTAAAATCTCAACAAAGCAAATTCCAGGTTTTACTCAATATACATACGAGGTATGCTTTTTTTTTTTATTTTTTTGTAATGTTAATGGCATTGTATGTGAGCATCCTGTGTTTCCATCTGATTTCAGTATGGCTTTGATAGTCCTGGGGTTTAATGATCTAACAATAATGTAAGACAGGTGAATCTCAGTTGTGCAAGAAATGTCACATTTTATTTGAATTAAATCCTACCCTACCCCTATTCCCTCTTTGGTGGGAAGTTCTGCCTAAATCATTATTGGAGGACCCTCTGCTTCTTTGGAGTTTCTTATGTATTAGTAGGCTTGTGTGGTATGGGGAAAATGAGGGAGGCCCTTTCTCCCTCAGGTCATTGTGGCTGACATGAGCACGCTCTGTCCCAGCTGGCAGGGTATCTGAGAAGATGGGGGACTTTTTCCCTTCCCAGCTGAACTTGCAAGGCTGGGGTGCCCTGGGGCATCTGGTCCAGAGACATCCCCTGAAGTTTTCTCACCTCCTCATTGTATTGCCATGAGGATGAGTGCAGGTCCCTATTGGTCATGACACCTTTTGGCCCCTGCCTCACTCCTGAACCGAGGAAGCCAAAAGTCTTAGCTATGATACTCTCTTGAAAAGGGGAGAGGACAATACATTGAGAACAGAAATTCTGAATAAAGAGTTGAGGGCTAGGTAGACTTCAGGATAGCTGCTATTAATTCTTCCTTATCTCTCTCTCACTCTCTGTGTGTGTGTGTGTGTATGAGAAAGAGAGAGAGAGAGAGAGAGAGAGAGAGAGAGAGATTCATCTATCCAGAAGTGGAGTCTGTCTCCTCTCCCCTACGACTTGCTTCAGCCCATAGAATGCAGAAGTGACACTGTGCCAATCCCAGGTCTGGCCTTTGAGAGTCCTGGCAGCTTTTGGAGTAATCCAGCTGCCTTGTGAGAGTTTGGATACCCGAGCCCACCATGCTGTGAAGAATCCCAAGCCAGCTGTGTGCAGAGGCCACGTGGGGAGGAGCCCCAAGGCACCGTGCATGCAAACGAATACCTCCTGGTCCTTTCAGCCCAGGTGTCAGCTGAATGTGGCTGTGTCAGTGACCCCAGCTGATGCCAAATGGACCAGAAGAACCACCACCAGCTGAGACTTGCCCAAATTTTTGACCCCCAGAAGCATGAGAATTAATAAATATTGTTTTAAGCTACTAAGTTTTGGAGTGGTTTGTTATACAGCAATAGATAACAAAAACAAGAGCGTACTGCGTGTTGGGTACTATTAGGCATGTTGCATCTGTTATCAATTCTCCAAAATGTAGAGTGGTAACTACTAATTATATATGTGTGAAGTGAGGGTGTGCCCGTGGTTGGTGAGCAGGGAGGTGGCAGAGCACAACCCCTTCCTGGAGTCCGTGTATTACATGGTCTGCCTTGGAAGGAAAGGGTTTTATCTACCTCTTTCCCTGCCCTAGTGGGGATCCTAGGACAATGGTGCCTAGGACCCTACTGCCCCAGGAGGGTCCTGGAACCCATCCTTGCCTCCTGGCAACCTCTCCTGTGAACCTTGGCGACTAGCTGGCGTGCAGGCCTTCACCAGCAGCTGAGACTTGGTTGTCAAGGCAACCGGCAGGAAAAGTGGGTCCTTCTGACCAATATTACAAGATTCTTTTCACTCAACTCCTGGGTTCTGCTTCCCATGGCCCACTGGCAGCCGCATGTCACTTGAGGGTAGGCCTGCCCCTAAAATCTGTGGGAAACTGGGGTAAGGGTATAAATGGAGACTTCTCCCCTGACCCCTTCTCTTTCCACCCTTTGCTTTGTCCTACACCATGGAGGCCCTCCCTGGAATATGTGGACATTTCAGCCACACATCCAAACTCATCCCATATCTCCACCCCTCTTCCCCAACCAGCCACCCTTGGCGCCACCCCCACCCCCTTGGACCCAGTACATCAGTGGGGAAGAGGCTCAG